TCTGTGCGTGCATACCTTCAATTTGAGACCTCAATCATGAAAATCGGATGGTTAGAAGAGCCAAACGAACTAGGAAAAGAAAAACCAATTTTTTTTAATACGTAAGATATATACAGGGTGGTAAAAAAGTCCCAGGACAGTTAAATATTTTAAAAAATAATGTAGATAGAGCTACAATACTTGGTACAAAGTTACAGAACATAAAACTCTATTTTAACACATATTCAGTGATCCAATAACTCTTCAGGGGGGCGGCCCACAAGGAGTCGGGAGAAAATCTTAAATGGAAGCATAGGTCAATATGCACATAAAATTAAAGGTCCTTTTTAGTAGAATACAATGCCGCAAACCGCACTTCAAAAGGTTGATCCTGCGCAAAATGACAGTTGTTTAAAGATTCATTTAATTTACATCTATATAATTAATACGCTACATGAAACTTTGTCGGTTGAACTCCTCCGCCATTTCTTAACCGATTTTATCCATTGACGTCTCATTGGAAAGAGCGTATCGCGTAGATTTGCAAACTGGTCTTACATGTTTGAAAAAAGTCCCTTGGGCTCTGCCCCAGTGGTTTTGAAAGTTCCCATGCTATCCTTATGAAGAACATAATTGTTTAAATTTTGATCAGCTGTAAATTGCTGTTATTTATTTTTAAATTCAATAAAACGCATTGCGTACGTTTATTTACTATTTGAGTTTGTGTAAACATAACCCCCAAGACGGATCGTGTTAGTATGGTTGTATCTTAAATTTTTGTGTATTTATCGTTGTTTTGTGTCGCTATGACGGATCGTGTTAGCATAATTGTAACTTAAATTTGTGCATTTAGCGTTGTTTTGTGTAGCTATAATTTGTTTATTTGTTGTTTTTTTTTCTTTTAAACGCCTCCGACGTGTCGACAGCGAAACATAGACAGGAGGCGTAATCGTGATAACAACCGCAGCTACAGAACAGTGACACGAAATAGGCTCAACTATTAGGTTAAAAATGCGCCCTAACACTACCCCAAAACAACTTTTCGTTCTCAATTGGCCCTCTATCAATGACCTGTGTTGCCTGTACAGTGAGGCATTTTGAGAAGGAGAAAACCGGCCGGAATGCTTTAGGTTTATCATTAACGAAGATAGACATGGTATGAGTTACACACCGGTAATCTTTGAGTTGACTCTTTTAAATTCATTGTAAATATGAATTATTACTGTTATTCGTTTTGAAATAACTCCTGTAGTACTTTGCAATTGCTCGAATTCGATCAACATGTACTCTAGTTGCTATTATACGCTTACTCCTCAGGGATCGGAAAAAAATTGTTAACGTAAGCATAGGTCGATATGCACATCAAATTAAAGGTCTTCACTAGTAGCTTACGATGCCGTAAATGCAAGCTCAAAAGAATGCCTGAGTAAAAAATGGTAGTCGTTCAATGATTCAAAATGGCGGATTCAAGAAATCTTTGAACATCTGCCATTTTGCGCAGGATCAACGCGGTTTGCGGCATTGTATTCTACTAAAAAGGACCTTTAATTTTATGTGCATATTGACCTATGCTTCCATTTAAGATTTTCTTCCAACTCCTTGTGGGCCGTCCCCCTGAAGAGTTATTGGATCACTGAATATGTGTTAAAATAGAGTATTATGCCCTGTAACTTTGTAACAAGTATTGTAGCTCTATCTACATTATTTTTTAAAATATTTAACTGTCCTGGGATTTTTTTACCACCCTGTATTGTTTTCAGTGTGCGTATAATGAAATAGTACGGTCACAATACTTTTTGGCGACGAGTAAAAACCGAAATAATGACATTTTACATGCTCAAATAACCTTAAAATATTACCAATTATCAATTGTTTGAGATGATGACGCCACCACCGTATTTTAACCCAAATATGAGTAAAGGAAGAGTTTAACAACAGGTTACAATTTTTAACAATGTATTGTTTCAAACAGCTGATAATTGTAAACAAGCATAAAACAGCTGATTGATGTGGCCTACTAGTAGGGGTTTTACATAACAGTTGGTATTGACATGATCATATTTTCTTAAAAATGAGTTTTCTCATTAATGAACCTTTTTTCTTAATTTTGGTATCATAAGATTTGTAATTCGATTCTCTTTTAAAAGTTTGACAGTTACATTTTTTTCATATAGACTTGTTGAGTTATTTACGTTTTAAACTTTTAAGAGGCCACTATTTTGAAAATAAACAACCTAAAATATATTTTGTTTAATATTTAATTAGTTCTTAAGGTAATAAAGCCATAAACCAAATTTCATTTTTGTACAACAAGCCTTTCTTGAATTAAAAATGTTTTTGTGAAAAAAAACAAAATGGCGGATATACGAGTTAATTTTGAGATTTTGAAATTTGTAATATGATATTTTGTCTTGTCTATGGTCCAGGAACCAGGAATTATACCTGAAAAAGTTACTAACTAAGCTTTACAACGACACATTAGTTAACCAAATCTATCCAGTTGTACAAAGCTGTATATTTGGTAGTCCAAAGTTAACAAAAATATCTCTAACTCAGTATTTGCTCACCATTAAAAATTCTGAGGTTGCTTATCATTTTTGCACATAACTTTTAAATTGTGAGGAAATCAACCAAAGTGGAAGGTTATATTCTGATAGAGAATAAAGTTTCATACAAATTACTATTATGCATTTCTTGAAAATTCTCAATAAAGGCAGCCAAAAGTTGCCTCCAAATAACAAATGTGAAAACGCCCGTTTTCAATGTAGTTTTTATGGAAACGTGTTTTTTAGTTTTCACTATAAGTCCTAAAAAACTTTCATAATTATTTGCAAATCTACACGAATTAAGCTTTCCAACGACTTATTAATTGATAAAATCGGTCGAGTAGAACTGAAGATTTAATTGCACAAACATTTTTAAAACTCAAGCATTTATGGAGCCAAAATAGATATTGTTTTTCAATGTGCGTAGCCCATGTAGTATCCAACTGACACAGCACGCATATTGTTTATTTTGAACCCAAAAACTTCCACGGACTCCTTTTTTATGGAATTAAAAAAAAAATTGAACATATATTTAATCATCTTTAAACTTTTAGCTGAAGAGTTATACAAAAAATGTTTCTTGAACTATAGTTTGTGTTATATCAATATCAATTATATCAATTATTCAAGATGGGGACGCCACTATGTGAGTATTTTAACCCAAATATGAGTGAAGGATGAGTATAAAACATGTGGAGAGGAGCACCAATAAAAAGAAATTGTGTCAATTTAGTACCTAGAGTTCTAAATAATTTAGAATTTCGCAAACAATATTGTTTTGGGGTAGAAGTTGTATTTAGAATAACATGGTCCTCACGATTTCCATTTAGTTGTGTTTCTCAACATACAATATTATTTTAATATATATTATTTTATAGGTGGGTCGAAAACATTCCAAGGTGATGGGTCGCCAGAACAAAACGTTTGGGAACCATAAAAACACAAACAAAACAACAATGGTATATTAAAGAAGGAAGTTAACAATGACTAAATGCATCACAGACAAATTCGACAAGGATATTGTCGTAATTATAGAAAAGAATACAAAAACAAGCCATTAACTGGGTACTTACTTTCGAAGCTCTCTCGCTTCTCGGAAGTTTGGGGACCGTTAGTAAAATGTTCGTGTAAGCAACGACAAAGTAAATAAAAATAATACATTAAAAAAACAGTACACGTACACATCCATTACTGTAGGCCTACATACAGGGTGGCTGAAAAGTAACTTGCACCCCCCTTAACTTTTAAACCTTTTGAGATATTTGAAATCTGTTTGCGGCAACCTTCTTAGAAATGAAGGACTACAATAATTATGGTTAGTTTTGAACATTTTGCCCTTAGGGGTTGCGGGGGTAGGGGGTAGCTCAAAATTTTCAAATGGCAAGTATAGTCGAGTTAGGTATCATTTTACAGATCTTGACAAATCTAAACAATTGACATAAAGAAAGCCAAAATAGGACCAATACTAACAAAATGGCACCCTAAAAGTTTCAAATCCAAATAACCATGAGGTTAGCTGAAAATTAGCTTGCACCCCTTTTAACCTTTTAACTATTTGAGATATTTGAAATTGGTTTGCGGCAACCTGTTAAGATATGAGGGGCTACAATAATGATGGTGAATTATTAAAATTTGTCCCTTAGGGGTAGGGTGTAGCTCAAAATTTTCAATCAGGAAGTATGGTCGAGTTTGGTATCATTTTACAGGTATTGACAAAACTAAACAATTAACATGAAGAATAGAAATCGGACCAATAATAACAAAATGGCAGCTAACAATTACTTTTAATAACCATTGTCTTATTAATGTTTAGCTGCCATTTTGTTATTAGTTGTCCGATTTATATTTTCTCTATGTTTATTGTTTAGTTTTGTCAAGACCTGTAAAATGATACCAAACTTGACCATACTTCCAGTGTAAAAAAAATAAATAAGAAGGAAAAACTAAAATTATGAATCCCTTAACTAAGAAAATGCAGTATATTATTATATCTTTGTATGTAAAACGTCAAAATGGAAGTGATTATAATATAGCATCTGTAACACCAATAAATATTGCTACTGTAATGGTATAAATACCTGTTTATGGCAATCCATTAAATTGCATTAGGCAACTAATTTCGGCGCTGAATTTTTCGTTTGCTGCACTAATAATTTCCTGAAGATTGATAAACCCCTAAAAGTATATTGAATCAAATAAGTGATGTATTTACCAAATCGGCGCCGAATATAGTCACTTAATGCAATTTAAATTATTACATAATACGATATTGACAAATTAACTCCTAGCACATTCGAAACAAATATTTAAACAATTAAATCCTGTCAAAAACATCCACTAAACACTAGTCCAAAGTTAACATATCGAAGTCACAACGATACCATCCGCTGGACACGGGAGGGTGCAACACGTGACTGGTGTCAGCTGTTCCATTGTTGATCAGCTGTTTGCAGTTTGCCGTGGCGCAGGCGCGACAACACTATAAAGTGCAAGGGTATGGTGATCTCTGTCTTCAGTCAAGTCTAAACGTTCGCGCACTTGAAAGTGAAGTGTGCTTGTGTAGTGCATCGCCTTTGCGGATTTTTGCACGTACTAGGTAAGAATTAATAAATAATTTAACTTTAACAATTATAACATTTAATTTCAATATTGGCTACAAGTACAATAATTTTCGTAAAATTTGAATCGATGACGTTTTGTGTCTATTATTTCTAGTAGCGTAATTTACTCTTATTAACTTTTTCCATTTGAAATATTAATCGTGTTTTTTTATGACAATTTCAAGAAAAGTAATGTTTTCTTTACAAAATGTAATTAACTTATTAAATCTGAGAGGATTAAGAACATTTAAATTTAATTTAACGATTGTTCATTATTTTAAAAATACACTATAGCAATTTACAAAACGGTGATTAAGTTATCATGTTTTATGCCATCATATACTTAGTTAATAATTAATTATTTTTAGCCCACAAATAATAAATTAACAATGTTAGCTTCAATATCTAAATTAATGAAATTGGGATATTTAGTTAAAACTATAAAAATATGTTCTGTTATGCCTCCAAACTAATTTTATTTGAAATAATAGAAAATATAATTACGTGCACTACTTACTTCGCTGTAAGTCTGCAGTTGTGTTTTTTTTTTCAATCATGGTGATATTTATTTTAGAAACTTTAGCAAACTACCCTCGTGAGTTAAAATGTAACACCGTTTATATGCCATCAAAACGAATCATGTAGTAATCATTTTTACTATAGGCATATTTGCAGTTCACAATACATTTTTATATCTTAATTTGTATAAGTCTTCATTAAAATCATAAACAATACTTTCTCCATATACTATGTATAGGGGGATAAAGTAAAAGACCGTTTAGGCACAAACTAAATTCAAAATGATAAAATATTTACAAGGAATGTTGATCATATCGAACTTGGTATGGACATCGTTAGTATTTTCATTAGTTAAATAATATTTTAGTTGACTCTTTTAAACTTATGGAAATTATGAGTGTTATTAGTTTTCAAATAACTACTGTAATACTTTGTAATTGCTCGAATTCGAGCAACATGTACTCTCTTGGTGTATACACTAATACACCAAATACACAGAACGACAAGGTAGGTTTAATGAGATTATGAACCATTTCTAGAATTATGGCACATTATGCCACTATAGTAATAATGATTGATGTTTTCGACATATTATAATGTCGTATTTTGTATTTTTTCCCAAACATATTTGTATGAATCTATTCCATATGTATCTTTTCCATTTGTGAACTTCCATGCTACTTTGCTACTTTATGGAACATTTACGGAACAATTAATTGTTTTTTATTGTAAAAATTGTATGTCGTCACGCTGACAGAAAAATGATTAAAAATCAATCTTTACTGTCAAACTTTAACAGCCCATGTAACGGGAAACACAAATGACGCAAATGTGGTAGACAATAAAGTTCATATTAGGCGATCACAATGTGCCAATAACTGTTGGCGCAGAATTTAATTACCACAACACTGTTGTATTACGTAATGTTTTGCGTTGTCATATCTTGCCGATTACTTCCATACACTAGTGCGAAACTTTTTTAAGTTGGTAGAAAACATTTTATAACTTGTAATATAAGTCTTATAAAGAGATATTTTTTTGTACAGCAATTGTCTATATTGATATTGATATGGATATTGGTATTACGATATTTATTCTGTGATACATTGAATTACGTTTAATATTACGTTTTATTTTACGTTTAAATTTAACATTTCTTTACACGAAACTTGATTTTAAAACTGAAATATTTCAACTGACCTTGTCAAAACACGAATGTTGCGTGCTCGCATTTTTTCAATAATTTGCCAAGCGTTTTTTGTACAGTTTTGTTTAGTTTCTAATGACAGTTAGTTGTTCAGTTTTTCGACCATATGTTTGGGTTTCATCACGTTTTGTGGAAATGTCATTGAAGCTATAAAATAAAGTATAGGTAAAAAATAATTTATGTACTGTTTTTCACTGGAAATTGGTATTCTGAATTTTTATTTGATCTTATTTATTATACTTTAGTATTTGTAGATATCCATAATCTCAAAAAAGGTTTAATAGGCTACCCATTATTCTCTTGTATTAAAATTCATAATTTGCAATGACACATCTTCTCTAAATAAAATTTCTTCTAAGACAATAATACATATTAATGGTACTATAGTTGTTGGTTTTTTAAAACCAAATATGAAATCGTACAGTGTGTTGGAGATCTTTATACATAAAACACAATTTAAGCTTTTATTGCAATTTATTATAGTAGTTATAAAAATGTATTATATTGTTAATACACTGATACAGCTTACAAGAAATAGAGGTACACTATTTTCCTAAAATAGAGCTTTTCATTTTTGTGTTTTAAGTTTTAGGTACTGTAGTAGGCCTACGCCATGCTTTTTTAACACGTTCAAACCTATTAACTCACTGGTTCACCTGGATTAATTTGACAGCCAATTGATTAATTCAAATTTTTATCTATCACTTTGACAGCTAGGTTAGCAACAATTACCCAGCTGATACCAATCAGCTGTTTGCCATGCTATAATCACGTGATTCAACTATGTTGACGGCGCGCCAAGTCAAAGTTTGGACTGTTGGCCCAAGTGGTATATTTTTGTGCCTATCAGGGTTGCCAACCGGGAATTTCTTGTATACATGTTGCAATGAATCACTTCCCATTCATGCCAAGAGAAGAGTCAGAAATTACTACCTATATCTGATTTTCAGCTGTACTAAATAAATGTCCGGCTATAATATGTGATAAATTAATTGCGCTGAGTTTAGTAGCCTAGTAAGGGAGTATGTTTAAACTATGGTTTAAGTAGCCGAGTGGTTGTAGTGCTTGCCTTCGAAACTGAAGATCATTGGTTCGATTCCGAGCTGGTTCGAATAAATATCTCACTAGATTTAAGGGGTCTTATTATCAAACAATACCAATAATTGTGTGTGATTCAAAACTTTTTCCTTTACCAAATAGTAATTACCTAGTTGTGTAACAAGGCAAAGGTATGGACCGTTTCCTTACAAAAAATCTAAAATTGTGCCGAAACTGTAGAAAACAAAAATAAATAATATTTCAAACTTATTAGCTATCTTTCAAAGTATTTTTCAAATAGCTTCTCAGATTTGTTGAGACTATGTATGTAAATTAAGTAATTTACAGAAAAGACGTATCAATCAATCAATTATCAATCACGTAAAACATCTTATCCTTTTAATAAATGCATGAAAAGCACTTTCGGGACGAGTACGTCACAATGAACATGTTATGTTAGATAACCATCGATTGGAGGGGAGGGGGGGAGGTCTTCGAACACCACCAATCTATTATGAAATATTTGTACGGTTATTAAGCGGCATTGTCGTTCACAATGTCCGTTGTGTTTGTTAATGAAAGTCTGACGAAATACAACTTAGCAAACTTTCCTTTTGACGATGAATGATATTTTAGACGCACTTTATGCTCAGACTACTTTCTCTTGTAGATCCGCGATCAATTTAACAATACATAAATTGGAACAGAACCCTGTGGGACATCAACACAGCTTTTCACATGGTTAATGTCTTTGGAATTATCTTTGTTGTTTAAAGTTGATTTATTTCTATATGCCCGTTTTTTACACTTAGACCAATTAATTTATCGTAATCGGTTATACATACACATTGACATCAACCTAATTTGACTATGATAAAACAATCTACAAATATTTTATATACCAATTATTGATACCAAATCCAACAATATTTCGTATTCGCAATTATTCCATCGTGTCCACATCATATAAGAAATAGTTATGGCTGTAATCATTCTTTTATAAATAATTCCTTGGAATTTTCTAAAAGTGTTGAGACCGTTTAGGGCATAGGCTTGTTGGATTAGGGTAGGAAAATCACGAATTACCGTAAAAGACAAGTTTAACAAAAAGTCTCACACTTTTGATCAATCGACGTTTGCGCAGGAGAGCGGTGACAGTGAGTTTTGAATGGTTGTGGGGGGGGGAGGGGTGCAAAAACCGTGGCGAAGGTCACGTGACCGCCATAGTCACGTGGTTGTCGCTGTCAGTCTAGAGTACTTGTGATAAGGCGCGTATATCTAGTGATAGCAAGACTGTTGCGATAGTGATGTTTGATATTGTTACAGCATTGCTAATTAATTGTAAAAAGAATGATATTTTATTGCAAAACATGTTTTTCTTCCAAAAAACAATGTAAGATCAATTGGAAATGAGAATGTTTCTATTCATTAAACGAGTAAAATAAGAGAATAATAAAACAAAATGTCTCAAGTGGGCACCTGAATGTCTTAAGATCTCTAAATGAAACGATCAAACCAGTAGTGTTATACTGGGTCAAATTTTTATGCCTGATACCAACGTTCTATTCCGTCCAAAAGTTTTAGAAAATTTTTACAATATTCAAAACTACAGTTTGTCCCAAAACACAGGTGAAATATAGGCCTACTCCTGTAAAATCTATAAGCAAAATTGCAGGTAAATTTTGTGGTTAGTAAGAGCATTGACTTTGGTAAAAGTCGTAGTTATGTTAAACAATGTTTTTCTCGATTTTCACGTTATTTATCATCCCACCAATTCATTTTTCTATTGATAACCAAGCATTTTAGTTCTACACTTAACCTGTGTAAAAGATTATAAAAATACAAAACTTATCCGATTTCTTTCGGTACTTGTAAAAATGTCATTGCGAAACCTATTATCTGATATACATACAGGTAGTTAATTTTATCAAGGAGATCATACATAGGACGACGCACTGACACATATCCAAAACGTTTATCGGTTTATCTAGTCATCGTATGACGTGGAAGGAAGGAAGGGAAGGAAGGATACGATACGAGGATCGTCGTGAGAAGTCCACGCGACCCAGGGGGAGGGGGGGAATCAGGTGAGCTCGGCTGACGATTTTTGTCCAATCAGAGAGCAGCGCGGTCGCGCGACGCGAATCATTTTCGCACTAAACCGCTGTGCGCTACGTTGCCCGCTACTCTGTCTTCTGTTGTGCTAGGTCCAGTTCAACGATCGCGCTTCTACTTTCTGTTATCTATGGCAAGGTTCAAGTTCAGTGTTTCAAGATAGTGAAGTAACTGTGTAACACTGTGAATATTTCAAATTTTGCGATTTGTATTGTAAGTAACTAGGCCTAGATAACGTATTTAAGATTTTTTCTATTGTAATTTTGTAAGAGATCTGCGGTGGTATGCAAAACCTTTAAAGTGGTACATTTCTAATTTTTAACTTTCACAACGAAATATAACCTTAATTTTCTATTTATCTTTGATATCACTTCTTAAACTTGTAATACAGTATAATTAATTAGATTAGATTCTCTAGTGTGTAGAATGAGTTTAGATTACGGCTTTGTCACACACTAACTGGTTCACATATTTTATCAAAAAGCCCTGTGATCAAGGACAGTACAATTTGTGAATTTATTCTACATTGTACTTCAAAAATGATTTCTGCCACGAAATCAATAAAATAGTAATCTTACATCTGGATGGATACTGTATCAACTTTGTTGATGATTTTTACAACATCAAACCATATGTGAATGATGCATACAATAGGTAGGATGAAAACTAGAGAATAAGTGGAAATTGAACAATATAGGTAGCCTACAAACAATTTATAACAATGTATAACCTAAGCTTTTTCCGAACTTCTCATTCAACAGTGTTTTCCTTTGAGTAAAGAATTGATGGGAGTTTTAATAAGTTTAATTATTTGCACAGTTAACAGGCAAACAATAAATTAAAATTATTAGACCAAATATCTAGACTATGTAAGTTACGGTACCTAGTTTTTGTAGTCTTAGTAATTAACTTAACTTTTGGAAACATTTCAAAACGTAGATTACGAAGTTAAGAAATTATTTATGACAAAATAAATACGAATTAAAAAAAATATGAGGGCTTTAAAGTTTACCAAAATAAAAATATCCATTATTAGCACATTTCCCTATAGGGATGTAACATTTACCATAGGAGGCGCGGTAAGACCATTGACTGTACACCTCTACTAGGTGTATAGTCAATGGTAAGACCTAGACCCGGGACTGATATACTTTTCAGCGAATTTCCCGATAGTGAAGTAGATTAACGTAGGTAAGACCTAAATCTGGGACCAATATACATTAAAGCGAATTTCCCGATAGGGAAGTAGCTATTAACGTAGGTGGCAAGGTAAGACCGGATAAAACATAACTTACTCCCCTTGTTAATTGGTTAGTCTTCTATGGTAAGACATCTAGACCCGGGACCGATATAAGTAACTTTTTTCATTTTGATGTCTTTCTTTAGGACACAAAAACCTGCATTCGTTCAAATTTTTATTTAATGATATTTTCTTTTGTATATAAGTTAGGCCTAAGTTAATACGGTATAGATACATCCGTGAGTTAAAGTTGAGTATAATTAAATTCTTGTCTGATTTTGATGAAATTCGGCTTGAAGATGTAGAGATGATTGGAAACGTGAACCAGCATGATTGGATGATAGAAACAGGGTTTTATGGATAAAAATAAATTTTTTGAATTTGTGACCCTCATAACATAAAATTTTTCAATTTATTTTTTAACCTTTTTAAAGTTTTTAAAATCAAATAAATTAATATATTGAAGTGTTTTTTTGCGGTCATTTATAGTTATAGGGAAAATTAAAAAAATCAAATTTAATGATTGAGAAGTGTACATGCTCAGTATAATAATACAAAATTACTAGACCTACTCTTATAATACTGTATTATTCCTCTAAAGTACAAGTAAGAAAATGGCTTAGTTGTATTCTGTTCATGGCTCAATCAAATAAGTTTTTTTTTTACAAAACTAGCTACAACCACAGACAATTAATTCTTTAATGGTTTATTCCATTGTCTGTGCTACAACTTTCAACAAAGGAATAAAATTTCTAGATACTTCCTTAGTAAATCCATTGTCAAAGATAGGTGTTTAATCGATTGAGAACTTAATGGTAGCTTAGCCGATGGAAAAAATATGTTAAGCAAAGGCTGAACATGAACAGCCGTAAACCTTCTTAACGCAGGTGTGCCAGTGAGTCGCTGACACAGCCATCAGCGACTCACTGGCACACCTGCGTTAAGAAGGTGTCTCAATAAAATTGTCTCCAGCTGATCCATAACGTTGTAATAGTATCTACAAGAGAATATGAATCTTCTCAAATTACACAAAAAAGTAGTTGGTGAACTTCTCCTCAAACCGCCTGAATTTTGTGAACGGACTGTAGTGAATCATAATTGTGGAAAACAGTTTACTACTCAGCTTATGAACACTCTTTCTAATAAAAGTAAATGTTTTGTTGTAGAAGCAATGCCACCCAACGTGACGAGTATGCCCACGGGGGTCCTCTACGAGGACGAGACCCTAGACCCTCTGTTGCCGTCCATGCAGAAGTACGACGGATACCCCAAGGAGCTGCCCGGACCCGAGTACAAGATGAAGCTGGTCTGGCGTAACATCATACTGTTTGTGTACCTTCACGCGGCCTCCGTCTACGGAGCCTACCTCATGGTAACCTCCGCCTCCTGGCCTACAGTGTTGTGGGGTGAGTTTGAGAGGAAACTAAATGAAGAGAGTAGAGTATAGGTTGAGGTCTTAGGCAGGTTAAGTGATTATGAATTTGAAAATAGTAAAATCTCTGGCTATCAATGTGTGGTCAGTTTTGTTTGCTGTGAAGATTTTACCAACCCAACTCAATTTAAACTCAATGGACTTTCTTTTAGAAGGACGTGTCATATATTTGAAACAGCATAAATAAAATATCATATGTCCTATCCTATCCTATACAAACAAATAAATACCAAATTTACTCAAATTATACATTTTGTGGTACAGTTGTTAGTGAGCCTCAGTAAAATTAATTCCTCAATAAAACAATTTTTTTTATCCCCTTGACGCTTACATAAAGGTCAATGCTAAAAACACCTCTGTACAACATAGTAATTAGGTTAAAAACCTCCATAAGACAAATTTTTTTGTCACTATGGCTAGTACTGATTAACCTCTATAAAACAAATATTCTTAGCCCAAAACCTCTACAAGATGAATGCGCCCACTATAGGATGAATTTCTCATTATCTTAACCCTCCAACTGGCACATAGAAAAGTCTGTAGTGGCAAGGCCATTTTAGTGATTTTGCAGACATATTTTTGAAAATTCATATAAATTGAACTAATAAAGTAAACCATATGAACCATATACTTGAATTGTTCGTAAAATAGTGAAGAATCTGAAAACGGTAAAACTGCAAGTAGTTGGAAGAATAATTTTTGAAACAAAGAGAAAAAAAAACAAAAAAAATTGTTTTTTTCAAATTTGAAAATTTGAAAGCAAAACTGTGCTGCAAATGCAGAAATTTTTTTTATATGAAATCCAAGATATACAAAATGTTAGCAATTTATTTCTGTTCATAAAAAAGTAAAAACATTCAATTTATAACTTTTTTTGGCTGAGTTATGGCCAAAAAAACTAAAAAACGGTGAAATTCCCATAACCTTGTGAACAGGTGAAGAAGATAAATTGCACGTAAACAACAAGTGATGACGTTGGTACAGGTTGTGCAACATACGGCAACAAAAGTCCACTATGCACAGAATTTCATGGGCTATCAGATGGTATATGTCATTATAACAAAAATTATAAATTTCGTTGAAACATATGTGAATTACTACCGCGACTATAATAGTCGCGCTGCCAGTTCAAATACACGTAAAAAGGTGGCTGAGGTATTATTTTTCTATTTGAGTTATTTATAAAGATATCGATATAATTTATATATCTCGATATAGAAAATGAACTGCCGGATGCAGTGGTACCACCCGCTGTTCCGTAGACTAAAAATACCCCTTGCTATTATTTGTTGAAAATATCCATTTTCGGTAGTTTTGTGATGCTTATACAGACTGTCCCAAAAGTCCCGGACCGGTTTAATATTTTCTAAACGACAACGGATAAATCAATAAGATTTTGCACATCAACACCACACTTAAAAATCTACTTTTTTCAGGAACTATCAATTTTCTGTCATATCATGGGGACGTCCCACGAGGAGTCAGAAGGAAATCTTAAATAGGAGCATAGGTCAATATGCACATCAGTTTAAAGGGCTTAGCTAGCAGAGTTCAATGCCGGAAACCGCGCCTCGAAAGGATCACCCGTTACAAAATGGCGGCCGTTCAAAGATTTCTTGAACCTGCCATTTTGAATCTTTGAACGACTGCCATTTTTTACTCAGGCGTTCTTTTGAGCTTGAATTTACGGCATTGTAATATACTAGTGAAGACCTTTAATTTGATGTGCATATCGACCTATGCTTACGTTAAACATTTTTTTCCGATTCCTAGGGCTGTGCCCCCAAATGCAAATTAAATGAATCTTTGAACCACTGTAATTCTTGACTTGGTTGTCCGTTTGAGTTCAAATTTGCAGCATTATATTCTGCTAGTAAAGACCTTTAATTTGATGTACATGTCAACCTATGCTTATATTTAAGATTTCCTTCTGACCCCTTGCGGGACGTCCCCATGATGTGACAGAAAATTTATATTTCCATAAAAAAGTAGATTTTTAGGTGTGGTGTTGATGTACCAAATCTTATTGATTTATCTGTTGTTGTTTAGAAAATATTAAACCGGTCCGGGACTTTTGGGACAGTCTGTATAGAGAAACTGACTTCGCGCGAAATTTTCTTCCACTTTATCACTAAGTTATATTGATCCATCAGTGTTATAAAGGTTATTTATGTAATAAAATGAAAGTTTAGAACCTCATCTTTCGATTGGTATACAATTTATGTAAGTTAGCGATCGTTTTTAACTGTTTATATGCAATTTAAAATAACCTTGCAAAATGCAACTATTATAGTCGCTGCCACTACAGACACTGACTACCGCGACTATTATAGTCGCTGTGCCAGTTGAAGGGTTAACCTTCATAGTTACGTAGATTTCAAAACAAACAGAAGCTTTTTTCAACGAAACCCTAACCCATTCCTCTTCCTTCCTCAGTCATTTTCTTAGAGCAAGGAGAAACCGCTTCTATAAAACAAACCTCTTTACTAAGAATACCCGAGATAATACAAATTTTCCCCCTACCCTTTGAAAATTCGTCTTATAGAGGTTCAACTGCAAGTTTATATCAAAATTATCAAAAGCTCACCATTGGCTTGAGTTAAGGTGTTATATCTATCTAAATAATCCTCTGTAACAAACAAGTTCCAGACATTTTATACCGTAATTAAAATTAAACTAACTTAAGGGATACAAATAATTCACACATAACTATGCTGCAGCTATCTTCCTGTACCACTGTTCTGGGCTGGGTATCACCGCTGGGGCGCACAGACTCTGGGCCCACCGCTCCTACAAGGCTAACCTTCCTCTCCGCATGTTGCTGGTGCTGTTCAACACTCTGGCATTTGAGGTTAGTATTCTAAAACTAATGGTGAGAAACCCTAATTGTATCATATGAGAGCATACAGCAGGACATGTTATGGTGGATAAGATGAAATAAATAGTCAAATCAGCTGATTTTAACAGCTGATTGTAACTAATAAAAAAGTTAAGAATTTAAAATATTCAATATTTTCTGTGAGCTGTAAATCTGAGATTTGAATTAAACATCATTGACACCATCATTGATCATAAGAATTTTAATAAGTGATCCTGTATAATGAATCAGGCAATGACAAAGCTTTCTTTCTACTCTGCCTATCCACCATTAGTCCTTACTACATACCAGGGTGTGTTAGAGTTGTTAAGATATTCAATAATAGTACTATTGTAACAATGCTATTCAATTGTAGCAAAGCCTTGGGAAATATTTTCCTATCTAATTTCAGAAAAGGGACATACATTGTATAAATGAAGTACCTAAAATCTTGTTTGTGAGTTTTGTACTATTATGTGTTCAATTTTAAACCATTATTAGAAGCTCTCTGTAGTCAGAACAGTTGTATTCTTTTAGTTTTTGTGTTTCATCTGATGATTATAAACAAAGCTATTTGCTTCCATTCTATTGACACTGTCACTAAAGCCCCCCCACACACTTTCGAACATGTTGGTCGAGCATGTCGGGATCCAACGTCTTGTCGAACATATTCGACAGTCTGTAACCAATCCGACATGCTCGACGGATATGTCAGGTTGGGTGTTTGGTCCGGTAGCACCATCCGACTCGAGACGTTCCCCTGACATGTTGGAACGTGTGTGGGAAACTGTCGAGCCGCTCGCTTGACTAGCCCACTGTTTCTAATAATTGTGCTCTGGATAAGTGAGTTGTGAAGGTAATTGCCCCAAGTGAAGTTGTAAACAACTTTGATTTTCATAATGTCATTCAATGATATTAAACAAATCTAGTTAGAGTTCATTGAACTGTACAGAGACCAAAAGGCGTTGTGAGGCATAAAAAGTAAATTGTATTGTAATAAACATGCACGTAGGGGTACTGTATCCTGTTGGAATAGTATAAAGGGCCTACAGTATCCAGAGTGTGACTTGAAGTTTGTTAAAAATAAAATTGAACATTTAAGAGCCTGAAAAAAGTGCAAAGCTCTAAGAAAACAGGAAGTGGTCAAGAGGAGGTATACGAGCATTTTCTTTGGTATTACAACTTAAGAGATTGTACAGTCGTCGCAAAATTCATCGCAAAACTGATACTATACCCGACATGATTGGTGACATGCTCGACAGTGTGTGGGAATCACACGACATGTCAGGTTGGATGGGTCCGTCGTCAGGTCAGGTTCAGCAACCCTTTTGATAGTGTGTGTGGGGCATAATATTTTTCAACTATGGATGGTAACTTGTATTTGTATTGCAGAACCACGTGATTGAGTGGGCTCGAGACCACAGGGTGCACCACAAATACAGTGAGACCAACGCAGACCCTCACAACGCTAAGAGAGGCTTCTTCTTCTCCCACGTAGGCTGGCTGTTGTGCCGCAAACATCCCGATGTTATTGAGAAGGGGAAGGGACTGGACATTAGCGACCTGGAAAATGACCCTCTACTAAAGTTCCAGAAGAAGTAAGTTGTCTCTGGTTTACCTAATTAATTTTATCGTTACTTTCATTTAATAATGAAACAACGGAATAATATATTGGCTTGGAATAATGTGGTTGTCTCTGTTTGCAACCAGGTTGAGAATTTCCTATATAAACCATACCAGTACAATATTAACAGTAGGTAGTGAAGTGGTACAAGGTCTTAAGGAAGGCGTTCTTTCACTTATATTAAACAAAAATAATGGTTTGTTGACGTTGAGGTAACGGAACTGAAACTTATCAGAAGCTAGAGAACTTTGTAGTATAACTGCTTTAGTCTTTATGAAAATTATTTATGAAAATAGTTTGAAATAACAAAAAACTAGAGAGAGGTCCTGAAATGATGTTCTGCGGTTCCCTTACAAATCAAGCCTTGGCCTTGTCCCTATTTTCCCTATTAGTTTGACACATAGGGTTCTCTCTTTTGAAGTTGTAGGGTTTACTTAGATGATAGTTACGTAAACTTATGAAAACCTGAAAGAGTTCTAAAATATTGACACTTTTCTATTAGATCATTCTAGCCTATATGGTTTATCTGAGCCCACTTTCACTGAAGCAATCGTTTGGACAATCGGTCTTGAACCAACAACTAACAATGTGTGCCTTAGTTCAGTGGAATATTTAACACTGAGCTACCTTTGCTATTAACACATTCGCTGCGGCTATGTCCCCGGTGACGCTTGGCTCCCTGTGGTGCGAGGCGGCGGTGTCACAGGGGACACAATGCATTGTTTGCCCAGTTATAAAGGCTCAGGATCTAGCCGAGGACGGTTATTAAGCATTAGTATTGTGTCTCTAATACCAGTCTATAAGTGTGGTGTAGGTTGGTAGTAAATTTCCCCGTAAAATCCCCGTCTGGCAAGCTTAGAAATTTACTTTATGTCCCGTTTTTTCCCTCCAATTGGGAATACAACCGGAACCGGCTACCGAAATATTGGAAAGCCAATCGGGTTTGTTCGACGCTGCGCCACACCTACGCCTGCCATTGACAGGCTGCAGCGAATATGTTAAGCCATGTTTCCTAACAGATGTCACACTCATGGAGGACAAATCTTATAAGATACCTTGTCGTAGGTACTACCTGATCCTGATGCCCATCGTGTGTTTCCTCATCCCCACTGTGCTGCCCGTCTACGGCTGGGGAGAGACGTGGACCAACGCTTGGTTCGTCGCAGCTCTGTTCCGTTACACCTTCACCCTGAACATGACCTGGTTGGTCAACAGTGCCGCCCACTTGTGGGGCAATCGCCCTTACGACAAGTGAGTATGTTAAAGTACTATATAGATGTAAACCTGCATGAGTCTACGGACGTTAAACAGCAGCGAGGAATTTATATCTTGTAAACTACCAAATGTATCACTGATGTATGCCTCTATATGTAAAACCATAGACAAAAATAATTAAATATAGACTGTCATCCGTGCAGTGGTTACCATGGTTACTATAGGTTCTGGCGCACACCACTTGGAGCGCCGTGTAGTTACGTAGCACGTAGGCCGTAATTACATGGCGCTCCTAGCGGTGTGCGCCAGAACCTATGGTAACCGCAGCACAGCTGACGGTCTATATTTAATTCTTTTTGTCTATGGTAAAACTTGGGGAAAGATTTTGCTGTAGCTCACTCCGTCAGCGGTCCACTCACCTTGATTTACTTTTTAAATAATTAGCTACAGTCCACATAAAAGTCTAACCTGATATCTGAAAGCTTTTTTACTATGGATAGAACCAGACATTTCCTATAATTAATTTTGTAGCCTGTTTTAGATTGAAAATTAACATAGCTGACCGACATATTGATGTGAATTACTGATTTTTTTAAACTATAGCAACTTTTATGTCTCACAAAAACAGTTACAAAAATTAGAAGGGAATTAGAATTTTATTTTAGAGTCGTGAGATCTGTGTTGTGGTATTCATCTATGTTTTTTTTTTTTAATAAAAAAAGATACAGCTCATCTACACAGTATAGGAGGAATGTCCACTTCATTATCTATAAATTCAAAGCTAAATGTCAACACCAGAACAAAAATTAAAATCTGTTGTCAAATCTAACAAAATATTATTAGTAATAAATAATGATTTGTTATTTCCCCAAATTTCCTATCAAGGTTCAGATTAAACTGATTGCACATTTCCATGCAGTACTGGTAGTTAAATTGATCAAATCTCTGATGTGTCCATCATGCGTTATCAGATGCTTCTTTTGTTTCCGGTTGCGCAATATTTTTTGTTGTGGAGCTGACAGCTGATGAATATGAAAAAACTGTGATTCAAACCATTTCTAGACTTTCCTAATAATTAGAGTCGGGACCACATAAGTATGCAGTTGGTGGCAGCCAATCACAAGACAAGGCTAGTGCAACGTTGCCACATCGCACTAATAAAATATACTAAGCAATACTTTCAAATCAGCTGGTATTATTAGATTTGGCAACACCACACGGTTCTCATTGGTTCATTCAAAACCATATGGTAAATAGGCTGCTCCCTCAACTGCAAACTTACGTGGTCCCGACTCTAGTCATAGTTTTGTATCAAATGGTTAGACTTGCATCAAATATTGACCTTGGGTATTGAATTAGACATCCTATATGGACATGCCATAGCCTGTTTTCTATCAATGAGAACATAGTTTAATGAACCTTTCATAGGATCTTCTGCTATTGGAGTTATATTGTTCCCTTTAAGTTTTCATATTAGGTGTATGTAATGTTGATGGGTACATGAAATATTGAATAATGCACTATAGAAGCTACCATCACACTCTGTGGTTTAACATACGCACCTAGGTGGCGTCCCCATCTCAATGATTGATAATTGATAACACAACACAATACTTCTTCAATTTCCTTTTCATTTTAAAATTGGCTACAACTTAACTAATTGGGAAGGATATGTTCCGGCAGTGATGTCTTCTACCAAAGCATTCACACATCAAATAACTTACTCTTAATGTTTATTAAATAATTAACTATATCAAATTCCTTGGACAATTTCATGTATGACAGCACTCTATGACAACAATCTATTACTGAGTGAAATTATCAGGAAGTATTATTTCTGTGGGGTATCTTTTCGATAGTACAAATTCATATCTGAATTGTAATTAAAAATGAATCCAATTTAGTTCATATTGTTTTTGTTGATTTTACGAGGTTTACGCATGAACATCTCATAACTTGCAACCTAAGATGCTTTTTATACCTTGTGAACTTTTTTCATTTTTTGCACAAATAAGCTTAAAATTAATACTTAAATTTTCATATAGCTATGAGACACTTTGACACTAAAGCTTCATTACTGAAGGACACAAAATTAAACATGGTGTGTTTTCAGATTCATCAACCCATCTGAGAACCTGGGAGTGTCTATTGGAGCTTTGGGTGAAGGATGGCACAACTACCACCACACATTCCCCTGGGACTACAAGACGTCGGAGCTGGGCAACTACAGGGCCAACTTCACCACAGGCTTCATCGACTTCATGTCCAGGATTGGCTGGGCCTACGACCTCAAGACAGTGTCCCATGACATGATCAAGAAGAGGGTGCAGAGAACAGGTGACGGCACTCACGCTTCTCAAACTCACTCCCACAAAGGAGAAGTGTGGGGCTGGGGTGACAAGGATATGCCCAAGGAGGACAAAGACGAAGCGACAATCATCAACAAAAAGTCTGAATAGACTCATCGTCAAGCATTCCATCACATTAGCGCAGTAATTGAAAGCGTATAAAATTCAATTCGAATTTGCACATAAATTAATTTTAGTCTTGTACATAATATTTTGATATATTATTTTGTTATTTATGCTAGCAGAGCAAAGTGATATATGTTCCTTTTTGTATTTAGTAGGCTATGCGCTGGAATAAATGTGTGGCCTCGTCTTGGAGGTGTGAATATTTATGTGTGTTTGTCTATTTTTGTATTTCTCTAATGTAGTTAAGTAATTTGGAATCTCGCACATTGCTCTGTGATAATGTGTGACTTGACTTCGTGACCTTACTTATTTATCTTCACTCTGTTCAGTTGTTATCACATTGAGCGATTATTGTTAGTATTAGATTGTTGTGTTTATACCTTAGTTTTCGTAAGGTTAGTGAATAACCTAATACTTGCCATGAGTACTATTCTATTTAACTAGTACCAGTTTCAATGTTCATATTGATTTTTCTTATGTTAAAGAGGAACCTTCTTTAGTTATTCTTTAAAAACTTAGTGCATAATATAATGATACAATTATATTATATAACTATACTACATCTGTTGTCCTTCATGCATGTATATAATTGGGAAATAAACACATCAATTTCTAATAATAAAATGTCTATTTGTGTCTCCTATTGCCACTGTACATTATACTTTAGTTTAGAGTATTGGTGAAGGCTTACCTGTGTCATAGGAAAACTATAGTTCGGCCGCTTAGAAAAAGACCTGCGCGCTAATGCTAAACCAATGCTAAAGGAGGTCGCTTTCTAAGCGGCCGAAATATAGCACAAGTACATTTAATCATCTATTAGTTTTAATTGTTTTAAATTTTAATCATCAAGTCAAAGTAGTTTCAAAATATATTCGTTCTTATATTCATGATACCACCTTTTCTAATATTTTCTTTCTTATCACTTTTACGGGTGGCGTCGTCCTGTAATCCAGCTACTGGGAGGTCACGAATTGTGGATATTTATAGGGATGCACTGTGGATGCGATGCTCCCTGGTGTGGATTAACGTCCGCACTAGTGAGTACTACGACTATCCGCAGTATTATCCTGATAATTAGACCAATTCGTAAATTACAAGGAAAAATGTGGTTCGGATTCCACTATAAACTGTAGGTCCCTTAGTTGCCATTAGCTGTATGGGCTATTAATTAACAGCTGTGTCTAAGGAACATGTCGGCCTTAGTCACTAACAAGACTACAAGATCGCGCCACTCATCCTACACTCATCCTTCACTCATATTTGGGTTAAAATACGCACATAGTGGCGTCCCCATCTTAAATAATTGAATTGAATTGAATTTTAAAATTATATGAATTTTGAATGAGTACTTACCTTTTTGAGACTTTGATTGGTTGTGCTTTTTCATCTATTCTAACCCTTATTTGAGCTCCAAGGACTGAAATATAGGCCAAGTAACACAAGCAAACTTTCACCTAAAACTATCTCTGCAGTGTAACTCAACAAAACAGCTGAAAGCTAGAACAGCTGATAGATAAAATACATGAGCTTTTCTTCAACCTGGGAGTCAAGTTAAGAACTAAGTCACTTTGTTTGGGATTTCCGTTAACCCGTGTTGTCACTATGGTAGACTGTTAATACTGATCAAAGCTGAGTAGTCTATTCTGCTGTCTCTCCAGCCAGGAATCAGCACTGTAGGTAAATGGTTTTAACCCTGTCTCAATCAGACCTGGTGTGCAGTAATTGAGAGTCTTTGGCAGAGCATGATGGGAAAGACCGACCTTCCTAGGATTCTAAACCTACTATTACCAGGTGTAGAATCCTAGAATAGCTGTACCATCCCCAATATATCAACTACTAGCAGAGTACCCGTCCTTTGTACAGGGTTGGCATATAAGTTTAAAATGCTTATTGCAGTTATACTCAAGCTTTGCGTTTGCAATGGGGGAGGATAAAGTTTGATAAAATTTGCTTCTTTAAATTGACGGTATACTATGGTATTACATATCTACCATAGCAAAGTTCTACCACTTCCCCTAAACAACAAAGACAAATAAATTATTAAAAATTCGCCAAAAATCACAAACTATTCATGACATTAAAAACATAAATATAACTGTAAACAATCCTACTTTGACAGTTCTCATTGTGTATCACAGTTTTTTGTTTCTGCTTAGTTCAAATTAGCTGTTTACATGAATGCAAAAAAAATATAGTGCTACACCCTGTTGGTAATTCTTATAACTTTTTAATGCTTTTGTATACCAACTTTTTTAGTTGAAACAGCTGACTAAATTCTTTAATTCTTTCTAAATATGAATACTCATAAGGTTAACATGGGGTACTACAGAGCCACTGGGGCGGAGCCTGAAAGGATTTTTGAGATAAGAATATGCCTATATGTTAATCAGGATTGTGAGCTATCATCATGCCAAATTTCAGCCAAATCCGTCCAGTGGTTTATGCGTGATTGAACTTCAAACAAACAAACAAACACATAAACTTTCACATTTTTATAATATTAGTAACCAAACTCCCTAGTAGATTTTTCATCCTTATGGAACAGCTGAAGACAATTTTTTTTTAGTTCTGGGTGCAGTGTTGAGGTCGTGTTTTGTTTACCATTTGTTTCTTGTTATTCCAGTCATTTAAAACCTTGTTGAGCCAAATAATACCATCTCATCATACTCGTGCCCTAGTTATATAACCAAACAGTAAAGCACAAAACAAGAAATTAACCCTCAAATAACAGAAACAAAATTTCGTTGATGCAAGGGCCCAGTGTCTCAATACCCCCGCCGCAGCAAACCTGCAGACTGAGCGAATTTCAATTTACCTGACAGGATTTCTACTAAAATATTCCCTCAAAATTTATTTCTTATTTAATTAACATTAATTTTAGTCAGTACTTAAGTTATGCTGCTACGAGGAAGGTATTGAGGTGTGTTTTTTTATTGAAATGTTGATAGCTTAGTATGAAATAAACAAAATTGCCAAATTTGATTAAAATATATATCAATTAACAAAGCCAACTACGACATTTTATTTATTCTCCATAAGAATAACATGGGAATTTTAAATTTAAAATTTTTTGAATTATCTCCGTAACCGTTAGGCATACAACAACACTTCAATATACAAAATTATTTATTTTTTAAGCTGGTTTTGAAAGAAGGTTTTGTGTTTTAGGGTCAAAAATGGGGAAAATCTATTTTCACCCCATAAGCCCCCGTTCACATGGTACGATGATGCTGGTTTGCAAACCTGTTTGAATAAACTTGGGTTTAAACGTTTGTACCAAATTACATCAAAATCGGATGGTTTTTGCTTGAATTATCACACTAACGGACACATATATAAATTTATATGAATGTGAACGGAGGGAGTTTTTGGGCTCTGGGGACCTCAAAACAAAAAAGTAAATCGGTCCCAGGTCATGGTCTTACCATGAAACCTACCTTGGCTTATTCCCTATATGGGTAATTTGCTAAAAGATATAACCCACAGTATTATAAAAGATCTCATCGTTATGGAGGATGTTTTAAGTAGTTGTGTATTCGTAATAGGTACGCATGGCACGTGTTTCACAGTCCAATTGAGAACGGAGCACAAACTTTGCCCTTGGGTTGATTAATTGAATAAATCTCAATTTCAAATACCTGCTTAAATGTTCAGTTATATTGTTTTTAGAGCTCCGTTAGTGTCTCTAGCATTAAGAACTGGACTGTAAGTATAATTTTCATCAAATTTGGATATTTAGATTTTTACACAATTCATTAAATATTTATTAGGAAAATCCCAATAATAATAACCATTATATGTTTTTTAAACGTAAATATTATATAAGTGTAGTAAAATTTCATTGTGCCGTACAGTTTTTGAAAGACCATTACATTTATTTTGAGGTGCCTGGAATTATTATATTTTAAATATTTTTAATTTATATTACTCATACACAACTTATAGGTACAACAATTGAGCAAAACCAAGGAAAAAAGGTCCAATTTCCAAAAACACAAGTTTGGTTATTTGAAAATCTCCCATCAAATATATTTGGCTTATACCAAAATAATTCCAAGGTTTACCCTTTAACCAACTAAAGCAGTTCAAATATAGCTCTAACTGTGTATGTGATATAAATTTAAACGAAAGTAAATATCTGTATTGCATCACCGAGTCTTGGGGTAAAAGAGTTCATAAGGAACTCAATGGATTTAATGAAAGTCCATTAAATGGAGAAATACAAAGGTCAGTTGAGGAGGAAATGTCCCTTGAGTGTTTCAGACAAGCGCTGCAAATATTCTAAAAAAAAAACATAATTTGTTTATGTCTTTTGATAAAGAACGACATCAGAACCATGCTGGCAAGTTGAATATTGTTAATTTTCTATTAAGATATAAAAAGTTGTTGACTCGTTTTTGAAACTGTAGTTTTCAAATTTTTCTTATTTAATAAATAAGAATATATTCTTTAGGCAAAGGAAACTTTCAATCTTGTTGAATTGTTGAACACTAGTGAAAACACTGTCCGATGTTTCATGTGTTGCTTCAATTCAACTGTGTTGATGTTTAATTGTATTTTCTTCAGTTGAGTTGAACTGTAGCTTTTTTTGATTTCTAAAGGCGGAGGACTGCAACGCATCCCTATTTTTTAAAATAACTTTTCCAGTTCAACCAAAGACCACGGTTCCAAAAAACGAGGTTCCACAATAAAACGATTTTTTTTCCAGAATGGTGTAAAACATGCCTCCCCAAACGACTCCACCCAATGGCATCACAGGGTGCCAGGGTGAAAAACCTCTGACGGACAATTTTAGTGAGAACTATGAGGGAGAGAAGAAGTTCAAGGCGCAGATCGTCTGGAAGAATGTTGCATATTTGGGATACTTCCATCTTGCAGCCCTCTACGGGTTATATCTCGCACTGACAAGTGCAAAATTAGCAACGATTCTGTTTGGTAAGTATGATTGATTTTTATAGCATTGCATTACCGCGATAAAATCATTTAATCTGCCAAAAAATTATCTAAGCTGTAAGAAAGGGAGCCATTTTGATTTCCTCAGACTCTGGTCAGGCCTGATGATAACCCCTAGCTGTACCCCTAGATGATGGTAACCCCTAGCAGTACTAGCTGGTCAGAATCGACTGCCATTGATTGTTACATCTAATATGTCTTAAATTACAGTTTATGGTACTGGTATAAGAGAAGAGTAGATGATGAAGAGATGTGTGATTTCAAAGTACGCATGGTTGGTTACTCATACTATGCTTTAATGAGTTGCATGTTTCAGCCATATTCATTTTCATTGCGTCTGGTCTTGGAGTTACTTGTGGGGCTCATCGACTCTGGACTCATCGAGCCTTCAAAGCCAACTTCGGTCTCAGGGTTGCTCTAATGATACTAAACAGCATGGCTTTTGAGGTAAGCAAAGCAGATATTGGTGTGTACAAAAATATTTCTGCAGTAAAAAAATAAGTTTTTATGAGGAGGTCCTACAAAACAATGTAAATAATGTATTTGATCAATTCAACCAATGGTTAGACATCATCTTCTAATTACTTGAACTTTGTGCCTTTGCTACATTATTTCTTACCAGTAGAATATGTTTAGGCAGGTAATGGAACTCCAACCACCTGAACTGGAAGCATGCAGAGACTTATTTATAAACATTCATGGACTGGATTGAGGCTATTTCATTCACGGACTGAAAACGTCTAAGTACGCTGACCCCTCAACCATAGACATCTAATAATGTGTTGATTTTCTTTTACATCAATTTTTTATCAATAAAATATAAAACAGTATTTATTATGTCACAAAGTGATCCAGCTTGCTAGAACATATCGCTGTTGTCAAAGTTGAACCAGCCTGCTTGGTCATTACTGGTGCTTGTAGATTATAATTCATGGGGAACCCTCATATTACCTAAATTATACCTACAATTTTAAAATCTCAGAAAAATTTAGTTTTTAACACTAAGAAAATAAAAATAAATATAACAACGCAACTACTTCTTGTAGGACAGTGTTTACGAGTGGGCCAGGAACCATAGAGTTCATCACAAGTTCTCCGAGACCGACGCAGATCCTCATAACACCAAGAGAGGCTTCTTCTTCTCCCACGTTGGGTGGCTCATGTTGCGTAAACATCCTGACGTAATTGAGAAGGGAAAGACCATCGACATGTCCGACCTCCTGCAAGATCCAGTGCTCGTCTTCCAGAGGAAGTATGTGAGCAGATTTTTAATTACTTTCCCATGATAAACCCTCTTCTCCCTTTCTTTTCTTGTTGATTTTGTTTCCCTTGGCTTAAGTGCAGCATAAATAGCATTCTGTCTAGTGTTTGTAAGAATAATATCGTGATTTTCTCAACAACATACATTTTGCTGTTTGGTCATCAATCAATTCTATATCTGGAATGCCAAAATTGAATTCAAGACAATTTTAGATAATAAGACATAACTTATTACAAACTTATTTAACTCACTATAGTAAACATTTTATAAACAGACTTATACTTTGTTTCCGTTTTAGGATTTGCAAACCGCTATTCAAATCTATACGAGACAATTCTCTTGTGGTATTCCATAATATGGTGAACTGTTCCCCAGATACTACAAGTACTTGATGCCCCTGCTGTGTTTTGGTTTCCCCACGGTAGTTCCTGTCCTACTTTGGTCCGAGACGTGGAACAACGCCTTCCACGTGTCTGCAATGCTCAGATATGTCTACCTGCTCAACTGCGTGTGGCTTGTGAACAGCGCAGCTCACTTCTACGGGGCCAGGCCTTATGACAAGTAAAATGCAAGAATTACTTTGCTACTTTAAATATTTTTAAACCTCAACTGCCTATAACAATTTATAGTTAATTAATTAGTTTAACTTCTATCTCAGTGGCGGCCCAAGGCTAAGTTCAGAAGCGGGCTGTGTGGGGCCCCTGAAAGGCGTGGGCCCCAGGCACCGCCCTGTTCACCTATATGTAGGGCCGCCTCAGTTTTAACCTGAGTGTTGAGTTTGATTCCTGGACTTATTGTTCAAAGTAATTCTGGTGCAGCTAAAAGGTAATCAATGTGGCTGCATGAAAATAGTAAATATATAGATTTTTTTCGTCTTCCTTCGCATTAGTCTGTTACACGTTGTCTTTAATGTCTTCTATGCTGCTAGCGACTCACCCTGCTAGGGTCGAGTAGTCTAGAAATATGTGAACCAGCCACTGCAAAATGCAACTCTTGCATTCAAGATGCAAACTACTTTTTTACACTTATCCTCCATAAATACATACTGAGCCTAACAGTTTTAACATTTGAGGTGCCAAAAATGGAGACCTCACATTTGATTTGTACATGTTTCAAATTTCAAACACATTGACATTGACCTTTGGAAACAGAAGTAGACAGACATCCCATCTACTGTATATGGACCAGCTAGCTGTTGTCAATTTGTACTTTCTCCCTCTATACATAGTGTATAGAGAAAGTATTCAACAAAATTTTTGAGTTTGAGTTTTGAGTGGATATATTCGTTTTGGGTCCCCCTGAACACAAAAAAGTGGTTTTCGAAGTGATGTCTGTGTGTGTGTGTGGATGTATTACAGCTACAGACCACACCTGTAGTCTGATTTTGATGATATTTGGTATGTAGGTTCTTATCCATGATATCTCCAGGAGTTCTTATATTTTTTTGAAATTTAGATTCTTAATGGTGATTTTCTTATAAAAACCCATGAAATAAGGGAAAAATCGGATTTTCTCTAAAATATCCCAAACAATTTTGATAAAAATCGAGTATGTTACAGTCTTTTAATTCTGAAAAAAAATTTTAGAAATCCTATTTCCGTAAAAATTACGGTTCAAAAGTAATTGTAAATTATTTTATTTTCCTATAAAAACCCATAAAATCACAAAAAATCTGATTTTAGAAAAAAAACGAGTTTGATTAAAATTAGTATGTTATGGTCCTTTAAATTATATATAAAATAGTGCAACCCCCCCATTGCTAAAACAATTACGGTTCAAAAGTTATTGCAATTTTTGTGATTTTCCCTATAAAATATCATAGTCACTTCCACCGCTTACCCATTAGGTTATTGACAAGCTAATGAGAGAAAGTATGAGTCAGATTGCTGATACCGTTTATTATAAAAAAAGCTCATAAAAGATCATAGCTCTGGGAGCCAGTCACAGATTGCGCTAGTGTCTAAAATTCTATTCCCTGCCTTATTTTTGTTACTGAGATAGTAGTTATAGCTTACAATAAGTCGTCCTAATCAGTTTTACTTGGTTAAAAACTAAAATGTCTGCATATTTGACAGAAAACGGTAACTTACTCTTACATCAGCGCAATCTGTCGGTCGCTCAACTCAACTACGTAAATTTTAAAAACTGGTGACAATTTTAACATGGGGATTTAATGTCTAGTTATTTCAATAGTCAAAGGTTGTACCTAGAGTGAATGTACTTACTTTCTTACTCTTTCAGCAACATGGAGCCAAGGGAGAACGTCACAGTAGCAGTGATGACACTGGGTGAAGGATGGCACAACTACCATCATGCGTTCCCCTGGGACTACCGGTCATCCGAGCTCGGATACTTTAGGTTCAACTTCACCACAAGGTAAACAGTGAAAGTCCGGAAGATTCTTGGAGAAATATATCTGGAATCTCTATATATTTCAAATCTACGTAACTATATGGTTACTTTTAATACTTTAATACTTTTCAATGAAATGGCGATGGTTGTCCTGAGAGTAGTTTTTTTTTCGTTGTGAAGTATTGTTGGTGTGAGCTTTAACCTCCTGAATGATTGTGTTTTACGCTAGGCATCATCCACAATGATAGTGGTCCTGTCAAGACACCAGTATGGTTTTTCTGACAACGGACCCGAGTGGCACTACACTACGGCCAACGGGAAATTTACTGTCTAATAGGGCAGCCAGGAAGGTGCCAAACACAGTTTTAACCTGTACCCTGTATTTTAAGACTGCAAACACAAGAGCCAGCCTGGCAAGTAGACCAGCATGATATGGAAAGAAACCAGGTTACTACCCTGATCTGGAAAATGTGTGTAGAGGAGAGAGAGACAAGGAATGTGCTACCCCCCATATTAAGTTGCCCCTTACTGCAGTTACTTTCTTACCTGGAAACTGCATGAGTCATTGAATAACACACATAGTTAATACAAGATGTTCAATAACTGTAAAACAAAAACTGTAGGGTCTATATTTTGATATGTACCAATAGTGCCTGGGTTTTTTTCAACTTCTCTCAACATACTTTCTTCAGGCAATACTCCAAAAAATGTCAACTGCATTTTCATAGCTACGATCATGTCAGCTAATGGACTAACGCCCCATTCTCACGGTTCTCTATATTTACAGGTTCATAGACTTCTGCGCCAAGATGGGTTGGGCTCACGACCTGAAGAGCGCCTCGCTCAAAATGGTACAACAAAGAGCCAAGAGAACAGGAGATGGTACTTACACCAACCCCTTCCCTCACAGTGTCTGGGGTTGGGGGGACAAAGACATGTGTGCAGACGACATCTGTAACTCTGTCACTCTGCATGAGCGGAAACTCAAGGCGAGATAACGTGTAGGACTTACGTTTACCTGTAACACGTGCGTTAAGGAGATTGTTTGAAGTTGGAAAGTTTGAAGTGTTTTTTGTTGTAAAAATTAAAGTTAACGGTTTTATTCTTTAGTGTTGGAGTAGGTGTTGTATTGTTTTGGAGAGGGAAATTAATTTTTATGTTTTCGCAAAGATGTTGAATGTCTGTTCTATATGGATTATTTGAACTTATTTTATGATACCATTTTATGGTAAAGATGATCTTATAGCTAAGCATTCCCGATGTGTTAAAACCAAGCAGAGGCGATCACACCTGGGGTCCCACGCTTCTTAACCCTTAGAGTGCCAGGCGAGAAATAAAAGTAACGCTCAAAAAATGCCGATGATTTTTCCCGAAGGTCGCGCTAAAAATGCCGAGCGCGATCTGGCGATTTTTAGGTTAAAATTTCGTAAAAATCGAATTTTCGATATTTCGACCAACGAAAATCGATGTATCGCATCTAGTAACTTTCGACTCAATGTTAATATATGGGTTAAAAGAATCCGAGTATCCATTCGGTTGTTATGACAACTGTTCGATCATTACGAAACGTCCGGTCAGCCGGACGTCGCCACTTTTGGCTCGTTTTAAAAACGTCCGGTTCCCCGGACGTTGGCACTCAAAGGGTTAAGGGCCCCGCACAGCCGTATTTCAGGGGCCGCCACCGAAGACAAACAAGCTTAGTTATACTTTATATTTGTTAGGAGAGGATGCAGTTTGGATGAGATTAGTACTCAGGAAATTTACTTTAAGAGCTTTAAAAGTGTTTAAGTGGGCCGATAGTAGATTGTATAGAATGGTTGTAGTACAATTATTTGAATATTATTTTTGTGATTGTATCTATTATATTATTTACATTTATGTTACTTTTTCTATTTATGTAGTTTGAGATTGTTGGTGTGATATTGTTTACCAACTATCTATATTTTGTTAACATAAAAGTACCTAATAAAACTGGGTTCTAATAATCAATGTCGTTTTATTTTTAATTTTCACATATAGAAAAGCGTATACCCTGTATGTCTTAATGGGGTTGTGTAGCTATCAATATAGCCAGAAACATTAATCAGACAACTCTTATTTAAGTGCATGAGTTATAAAAATGGTTCTGTGAATAAAAAAATGATGTTAAGACATATTATATTTGTTTTGAAGCCCGGGGATAAAAATCTTTCAAAATTTAGATACAGATAATGATGATATAAGTAGGAGCTCAAGAATAGTTCTAGAGGGTACTACTGTACACTTGCAGATTGTGTACCTAAGCAAAAAACAGGTTATCTTTTTATGATGGAATTGGCATAATTATAACACTAAGCCAGCACAGAATTCACTTTCCTCACTTACTTGTTTGAGACACACAAATGTGTATATTATACACAATTTCTATTTAAATGATTGTATACACTCGTTGCCAAGTCTAAATTATTTGTATATTTGTTCTATTTACATAAAAGTCATACAAATGTATTACTTTCAGCTAATTTAATAATTTTAAACTTTTCAAAAGGGGACTTAGACAAATAGAATAAATATAGACCGGCAGCAGTGCTATGGTTAGCATATGTTCCGGAGCCCACAGCTGGGAGTGCCGTGTAGTTAGGGCCTACACCGCTGCAGGCGAGGAGCGCGGGAGCGGTATGCTACCAGCAGACGCTGCAGCGGTGTTCGCCGTAACTACACGGCACTCCTAGCGGTGGGTGCCGAAATGTTCCTTTGACGGTCTATATTTATTCTATTTGTCTATGAAGGGGGTAAGGAGAGCGAGAAAAGTTGTGAACCATCAGCTGACTAATAGTTTGGTTTATGTTTATTGTTTACGTTTTGTATGTTTCGGTTGTCATGGTGAATAATATTTTGTAGAGGGGCAACAATGGTTTTAAGTGGAAAAGGAAGGTTGGTTTTTTTGTTGTTGAGAGTTTTGATGTATAAAGTATAAGTAAGTTATAGAAAGCAGTTGAGAGTTTTGTTTTATTAAAGGTTACAGTCTTGCATATACTTTAAAGTGATGATAAAATGCTCCAAATTGTTACGTTTTTTTCTTGGAAGTGATTGTCTTTTTACATGTTTGTTGACTTTTTCCATTTCCTCATTGTATTGAAGTTACCTTATTTAAAAAAACAAAACCAGAGTACAAATGTTTATTAAAGTTCATGTGGCCTATTTTTAAGAGTAGGTAGTTTTGATTTATAAATAATAAAATAAACAAAATAATTTATTATATACTTATTCTACTTTAATACCACATACATAAATCACAGGCACATATAATTCAATATAGAATAATTTCATTTAAAAACAAGTTACAAGATAACACAAGTTTTAAAGAATAAATATTCGGAAGAATACACAAATTTTACCATTTTATAATCAATGATTTGATATAAACAACATTGTTTTACAAAGTATAGCTTTTCACATAAAATGCATTGTTAGAGATTTAGAGTTTTTGTTGTAAAATAAATAACTATAGAGTGCAGAAATTATCTTATATACCTATAAAAAAAAAATGGTTTTTCTTTTCCGAGTTTGTTTGGCTCTTCTACCCAACCCATTTTCATGATTGAGGTCTCAAATTATATGAAACTTAAGTCCTACCTACTTTTTTATTCTGAAATGACGTAATTTTTTTCAAAACAAATAGCCTGCCCATTACTTAATTTGACAACATAGATTAAGGTAACCTCAAAATTACTGTGTTGTCTAAATCAAATTTCAAGAAATAACAGTATTACACTATATTTAAACTGTATAATATTTAAATTGGCTATGATATAACTTGCAATTTCACTTGTAAATTTTGTTTCCAAACTCAAGAATAAAATAGATCTTATAACATCGGTAAAACTTTCAACATTATATAATCTAAAACCATTTTAGTCATTTTTACTGCTTAAGGTATATTTGAACAAATCTTTTCTAATTGATATTGCAAAATATTATCAGTACTCAGTAAAATCATAGTCTATCGTGATAAGTCTAAGATTAAGGCACAGTTTAAAGAATGATATTTAAGTTTTACTCAATGTGAGTTACTAATATTCATGACAAAGTTTTAAGTATTCAATTAGGTATTACCTTATTTTTCAGAACAAGGTAGTATAAAATGGATTCTTCTATACTATTTTATTGTAAAGGGTTAACTATTTGATCTAGCATGGAATGAAAATACTGAACAGTTTTAAAGTTGTTTTACATCTTAACTAGTTATTAATGTGGAAACTGCATTGTATTTTTACTTACTTAATCAAGGGTGATAGAACACAATGTTTACAACAATTTTTATCTCAAATGAAGAAATAACAATTCTACTTGTAGATGGATAAAACCATCTTACTTATTGTAATAAATAACTAGGTTTGTATATGTATTTTTTCTGGTTTTCAACCAGAACTAGTACCTATTTGAGATTTCTTAAAAAATTAAAATACACATCCTTAGATAGAGGACATCCATCAATTACTATATCAGTTTACCACTAAAATAGGAAGTTGTCACAAGTTTTGTTATGACCATTAAAAATATATTTCTTTGTTAATGGATTTTATGATCTCATACTTACTCTCAGTTATGGAAATGGTATAGGTACTGTATTTTGTATTCAATTCATCCATAACATTGCATTATTCAATAACATTACACATAAGTTTTGTTAATACTTATAAAAACATCGGGTTAAGTAGCACCGTTTTGTACCCTATGTTTCTTCAAGTAGTATACACATGGAATAATAATAACATGTGTTATGATGGCTCTTCTGACTGAGTTTCTTTCGGCTTTGGTTTTGGGGATACAAAGTACTCCAGTGTCCAGGCAATCACACAACTCAAGATCATCAAAGACTGAGCGTGAAGACAAATGGTATAGCTTCCGGTGAAATCCCTGATCCAACCTAGAAAAAAAATTACTTAGAAATTAATATTATATCAGAAAATCACCTAAGAAACTTAATAGATTTGGCAATACCGTTTTGGATAACCAATAATGTCGGCGTCGTCCTGTAATCCAGCTACTAGGTCACGAATTATGGATATTTAGGCATGAACTGTGGATGCGATGCTCCCTGGTGTGGGTTAACGTCTGCACTAGAGAGTACTACGACTATCTGCAGTATCCTGATAATTAGACCAATTCGTTAATTACAAGGCAAAAATGTGGTTCGGATCCCACTATAAACTGTAGATAAACTGTAGATCTCTTTGTTGCCATTGGCTGTATGGGCTATTAATTAACAGCTGTGTCTAAGGAATATGTCGGCCTTAGTCACTAACAAGACTACAAGATCGCGACACTCATCCTACACTCATCTCCATTCATACTTGGCTTAAAATAAATACATTCATATGGTCCCCATCATTTTGAGTGATTTCTGTGTCTTGCACATGTTTGGACCGGAAAACCCGTTATCCAGACTGGTCGCTGACTCGAGGAGTTGGGATAAGAGAGAGTTTACTATAAGTGTAAATATTTAGATAACATATTTTTTTGTGTTTAGCTTTAACGTAAACTAAAGTTTACATGGTGGAATGATACTAACGGATTTTCCTAATTACTAGTTACTATGTTTATGGTTGGGAGTTGTCTTTTTTTTAAAGAGTCATAATTACTTTTTTTCTAAGAGGTACATACTGAATAAGATTTTACAAATGTCGAACTCATGATGGCTTGTGAACCATTAACACATAGCATCATCAAACATCCTGCAGAAATTAAAAGCCAAACCTTCAGAACTATAAATCACTTATAGCAACAAACCTTGCCTGAACGACTACTACACCAGACAAAGCCCCTGGACACACAATAAATCTTGGTAATAGTCATAAGATTGGTGAACTAACCCGCAGCGGGCCCCAAAGCGACTATGAAGATGCCTTTGGAGACCATCGACAAACCAAAGGCAGCCGGAAACTTCTCCGGGACAACAGCCTCCGATATCACCAGAGGAAAGTTGATTAGAGCAAATCCTCGGAAGAATCCATGGATGACCAGAGCAACCATCAGATTAGTCCAGGAGGTTTGTTCAGCCAACACTGCAACAATATCTTTACTGACAAAAATGCTCGGTGAGGCTAGGAAAAGACATTTGATACAGGCAAAGCTTGAATTAGATCAGAGTGGATTTATACTATGCCGACAAACCAGGGTGCGGTTTTTAGGCAAAGCGAGTGTAGGATGAGTGTAGATTGGATGAGATTAGGGATTTGTTATTGAATTAGATCAGCTGGTTTTCTTTAACCAAGACCATTTGTTTTGAGGGGTCGTATAGAAACTGTTCCAGGCAGTCTCTCTACCAAAGGATTATTTCATGTTTAAATGTGAAATCTTTTTACAGACTGATGCTGAAATTTTTTAACGTCTTTTATTAAATCTAAAGAATAAATTGTTTACGGAGGAAGGTAATCATACAAGTAAAGGAGGATTGAGAGGAGGGGTCATAGCTGTCATTTCAAATTTGGTAGAGATCATGTCAATTAAGACTGGTTAACTAATTAAGACTTGTAGGGAGGATATTGCGAGAGAGACATTGAGCCTTCCCCATCACTCTTCTACTGAATACGAAAGGACAGATCTCATGGTAATTTTGAGATGAATGTACAAAATAACCAGAGTGAGGTAGGAGGGGAAAGGGTTATAATGGGCAAGTGCCATCCTAAATTATTCAATCCATACCTTTTAGTTTTAGCATAGACAAAAAGAATTAAATATAGACCGTCAGCTGTGCTGCGGATACCATAGGTTCTGGCACACACCACTGGGAGCGCCATGTAGATACGGCGTACGCGCTACGTAGCTACACGGCGCTCCCAGCAGTGTGCGTCAGAATCTATGGTAACCATGGTAACCGCAGCACGGCTGACAGTGTATATTTAATTCTTTTTGTCTATGGTTTTAAACATGAAGCACTGTATACAGGTTACCAACCTGTAAGAAGCTACAGTTTGTCACTATTAGTACAATTTAGGTTTCATTGTCTATCCAGAGGTGCCCATCCCCCCCAAACCCAGAGGCGCAATCCCCCCCCCCCCCAATTTATGCTGTAGTCTATTTAAACCTACCCTCCCCCACCAATTTATCTGACAATTTCCCCTTTACCTCATAGAACGAGCATTTCAAGTATTTAGTAAACTTGGAGGTACAAAAAACAAACTTGCTGATAAGCAAAATTAAATGTTTAATAGGAAACGTCATTTAACAATACATCATTATATCTAACTTATGGTTGAATTAGAAGTTTTTCAATTTACAATTCCGAATTTGTGTTGTCAGCCAACGTCTGACAACGTTTGTTGTAGACAACGTCTTCAAAACATTCAACAATATACTCGGTGAATTACTCTACTCCAACACAGTGTACTGTAACTGTACAATATATTAGGTGGCGTTAATTTTTACAGGGCTTAAGAATTCAATCCGCATTTGAGTGCATTAATAATATTTTGGAAAAAGTATCTTGTTTCAAAATTATAGACAGAGTCTTGAAATAAAACTGACTTGTTGCTCGCCACTCCCAGGCTGCCTTCTACAAAAATCGCCGGGCAAAATACCCACAATACCTTATAATAATTGCCACCAGTACAAAAGGTTTTTGTGACGAAGTAATCTTATAATTCATCTTGATAGCCCCAGGATTGTCTTTTATGAATAATAATGTTAGAAACGCATCTTGTCAGACAATCCGGTTGTACAAAAACACAAAGCGATCAGATAGGCCTATCAATTCACACGTGTATATTGCCGCAGGCAGGACTGGAAGTAAACTGAATCTGGTTATGGTAGATGTGGTCACTGGATTGTCGTCTGTGTTATCAAAAGCTGATATTGGACTAATTATTGTAGTGACGGAGGAGAGTGTTGAAAATATAATGGGATTCATAATTGAGTTTTCCATTCAAAATTATTGAAAATAATAACCAATTTATTTGCTGGATATAAAGTGATGGTCTCAAAATTCTACAGTACTGCACGAAAGGAAATTTATTAAATACTTTGAGGGGTTTGAAATATATACATACATAAAACTGGAGACAGCACAAAATTTTTGAGTGAAAACACTCAATTAATTATGAATCCATTATATTTTCAACACTCTTCTCAGTCACTACAATAGTCCAATATCAGCTGTTGAAAACGCAGACGACAATCCAAAGACCACGTCGGTCCGTCATAACATGAACCTGAGATTCAGTTTAGGCCTACTTCCAGTCCTGCCGACGGCAATGTACACGCGTGAATTGATAGGCATATCTGTAATCGTTTCGTGTGTTGTGTTAAATGTTTGTAACGTATTCTGACGACACCTCCAGAAGGGGATCTTTTGTAAATCCTGACGATGTTGGAGTTAAAGAACCACCAAAACATATGTAGCTAGTAAAATTTGACACTGACATGTTAAGGATTGTATGACGAAGTGCGTATTTACCATTCTTAGAAGCAATCTTAATTACGAACGGCAAAATGTTGTTGGTGTTGATAGTGAGCTACTTAGACACATTTTTTCGGGCTGCTTATACAAAATTATACATTCATTATGACAGCTAGCAAAAAAACTCCCCCCCCCCAAAATCCCCTCAAAAATAGTCCCCCCCAAAAATTCCTGTGGCGCAAATGCGCCACAGTACCCCCCCTCTGGGCACCCCTGTGTCTATCTATATGCTATCTAATGTAAATTCTTTAATTTTTGCCATAAAGAAGGATGTGTTTTTAACATATCTGGATAACCAGAATAGATTGGCTCTACGTCTACTCCAGTGTTGTTGTGGAAGTTCAGTGTTAGTGTTCTGCATGTCTACTCTAGGTTAAAATGGGTGTCTCCGGGTTATTCAGATATTTCACATTCCATATAAATTTATACATGAATACTTATAACCACATGTTAAAGCAAAAATACGTTGTTCTATATTTGTAAAAGATCACATACCTGATCTAGCAACTGCGACACAAACTAGACCAACAATCAGAGTGCTTCGACGGGAGAACGAAAGTCTATCGTAAATGGGAGGCATGATTATACGAGCTGTAATGTCGGCTATCGCCATCACACTGAGCGCCTGAGCAGTCTCCCTCTTGGTGTATCCAAGGTTGGCCATGAAGAAAGGGATAATCAACTTGAAATTCAACTCTGCGATGTACGTGATGGACAATCCGAAGAGGATGTTCAAGTAGCTCATGTCTAACAACAAGTCAAAGTCCATCACGCTGACCACTTTTTGCCAAAATGTTTGCTCGGCTCGTTTTGAGTTCCTCCTCTCCCGTTCCACTAGTTTCTTCTTGATCGTGTTGTTGTTTGATTTGACCACACCGTTCTCGACATCAGTGTGCTTGCAAGTGCATTCTTCATGGTCGTCTTCATACTCACTGTCTGTTTCCTACAGCAAAATTATTCGGTTAAAATTAAATTTGCTTACTTGATTGGTACTGAGAGATAAAGAGCTTGAGGAATTAGATCATCTCAAAATGGTCTCTAATCAAGATTTTCATAAAAAACTGCTGACTCATTCGGTTTGTTGCATGTGCAATAATGTCAAAGCTAAAAAGACACAAAAACAAATAAATATTTACATACAACTTAACTTAAATCATGAACATAACATAAAACAAAGATGGTGCTATATTACCCAACTATACCGGACTGGGCCCTTGGCCAAACCAAAGTTTGAAAGGTCAGAAGGTAATACAAATTACAAACATATAACACGAAATTATATTTTTTTTATGAAGCTAAAAGATTAAATAATGCTAGTAAGATTTTATTTTATAATCTGAAACGGATGTGTGTTAAACATGTAGTAGCCTAGTTTTACCTAATTTGAGAGTGAATTTTACTTTAGATAAATTACATATTGGTTACATACTAACTAAGTTAATAGTAACTATCAGAAATTTAACTACAGTACTTACAACATGTACGTGCATGGTGCTTCCCATTAGATCTAGGTGTGAGACGTTCGAGATCACTGAGGTTTTCCGTCTCCGAGCAAAACTGGCATTCGAGCTTAAAAAAAATTATAGCTTCAGATAAAGCTTTTTTTGTACTTAAAAATCTAAATATGTAAAACAAATTAGGTTTAAATAACAACTAAAACTTCTAAAAAGTTATGAAAGTTCCTTTATTCACGTGACTAACTAGAGGCTTAAACTCAGTGATTATTAACAATACCAATAACAAAAATGTATTTTACAAAAAGAATGTTTTAATCGTTTCAAAAATCTTTATTTACCATTTGAGTTCCAAAAAATTCAGTTTTCTACTCATCTTGTATTAGTCATTACAGTACAGCTGTTGCATGACACCAATCTGAAGTCAAAATAGACAAAGGGTGCTTTTCACATGGTTAATTTTACAAAAATGTGTCTTGTGTCTTACTTGAAACCAAGAACTAGGCTTAATATTTCAACTCAGCTATCGGCACTTTCATGATATGACCAGTCAGTCAGATCAAAATCTATTTAAAGCCAGGTTTTTCTAGACATAGATGAGGAGCGTGGAAGGCGGAGAGCAGAGGGCGGAAAAGCGATTAACATGGCATTTCACTCCGCTTCTAGGAAAACAGTAACATTAAATTACCTAAGACAAGAGGAGTCCGCTCTCTGCGTTCTTCTCTCCACGCTCAGCTTCCACGCCTAGGAAATCCCAGCTTAAAAGAACGTTTGCTGAGGGATTGGTTTTTATTTATTGCTAAGACTGTTTTGTTTGGTTAAATTATTTAAATTTATAGTCATATGTTTTAATTGTTGTAAGAACCAATCAAGCATAGACACTCATCCTGCAAAACCAACCCTTCTCGGCAGTAGGTCAGTGAACAAAGACAGTACTAGTGTGATCCCCTACAGGTGACCGTCACGTGTCCGCGCCCGTGCTCGTGTTCGCGAAGTCGCCGCGACGTAAACGTACGGTCTTACAAGCTACTGATAAACTTTGTAACTACCAACTTAAAAAGAGAAAGGGACTAGCAAGGTACCTGTTCCGAGGTATGTTGCGTTGACTGCACTGCCTTTGGAAATTTGTGGCTACTGACGACGCAACACTGTTAGTGCGAGGAAGAAGAAGTAGTGAAGATGATACTTCTTTGCCGTCATCTCCTACTGCCTTGCCTGGAACCTTGTTGGCTTCCTACAGAAAAACCAGGAATACAAAATTAGTATGTAAGTGTTTGAATTATTTGACAATGTAATTTTGGTATTTTATATTAATGGATGTTAAAGTTCAGAGGTTTATTCTCTACCTGATAGTGGTTGTTAAGACTTTAAATGTGTCAATTTTTATCCAGTGGTGTAGAAGCGCTCTGGAGTTCCCAAAAATTGAACTTCACTCTACTTCTTTATAATCAAAGGATTTTTTTTATTCACGTCTTAATTAATTAAAACTCTTGAATCCTTGAACCTCACCTTCTCCCCCAGGAGGCCTTCTTCTTCCACAACAACAGTCTTCATATGCCACTTGACAGGCTGCAGCATGGCAGCTCCCACCAGGGCGTGGAGTCCCAGCGCTCCCAGGATCAGCATTGTACCTCGGAAGTCAAACTCCTCCAGAAGTCTGCTGATAACCTGAGGCATCGCCATGAAGCCCAGTGCTGTACCTGCCATAGCTAGGCCTACAGCTTGTCCTCGGCGCTTCACGAAGTAACTGTTCAGGGCTACGAACGTGGCTGCTGTCGCCAGTCCGAAACCTAGACCTGTTAAAAATTATTTTGTTGTTATTGCCAGGTTTACAGAGCTGCTATGTGTAATAAGATGTTGATTTTTATTGGGTGAATAAACCTGAGCCAAAACTAACACTATCCTGGCTGGAGGTGTGTCAGTAGCATGATTTACTGTGAAAAAAACAATGTTGTGTGTTTATACCTGGTTGGCACTTAATTAAATCAAATCATTAGGTGATACGTACAACCCTTTTGAGACTCAAGTGGATAAAGAAATTACAAGATGACGCCCAACCTCTTGAAACAAATAAATGATACCGTACAGTAAGATGTGTTGCAGACTTCCTTGGCAGGAAGAGACATCCAGCTACAAAAAAATATAGCCATAGTTTTATATGAAGAAAGTTTAATATACCAGAAATACTTTGTCATTCCTGATTGTGGTTATAATACAAGTCACTTCAAACCTGAAATTAAGTTTTCTAACAGAACATGTACCGGTACTTAGATTTTTGTACTTAAAATGAACCTTTTGAATAAAAACCAGTGATCCAGCAAAAACCAGAATAACTTGATTGTACTCCAGGCATTTAACTACATTAAATCACAGATTAAAGATAGACGTCTACTCTGTGATTGAATAGAAGTTAGTGTAAGAAGATACCAACCCCCTCTTAGAATGGTGACTATAGATTAATAAAGTGTTTCTACAACTCTAGCTATAATTTACAACGTATCACTACTAACCTCCCATGAGACTGTATGTGAGAAGTATATGGGTCATACTACTAGCTGTGGCCGTGGCTGTTAGAGCTGTGGCACTGAGGATGGCTCCCAGGAAACCGACCTTGCGATAGGAGTACTTCTTGATCAGTGGCCCCACGAAGAATCCTAGAAAACCGTTGTATTACTAAGACAGTGGTGTTTCATGGATTACAATAAAAACAGTTGATCATAGAGTGGACCAAATTAAATAAAGAGTACCCTAGTAAAATTCAATTTTGTTTATAAAACCCCAAAGGCTGTATATTGGAGGATCATAAATTACGTGAGATTTTAAGCACAGGTTGAATGATCAAATATTGTATTTACTTACTGTCATTTTCAATCCAAATATTTACGGAGCAGGCTTACACTTTTCAACCTTAGGCTATCGTCATAAACCTAGTGATTGACAAGAACCTGATGATGGCTTAAGGTCAAAATGGATACTCCGTAAAAATGTGGATCAACACAATCTCTCCCACTTGTCACACACCTGTGTATTTATGGTCTAGCAGCCCTGGTACCGAGTGTGTTGAATACCGAATACGTAATTATTTACAACCATGAGTGATTTAACAAAACCCTCTTAAAACTGATTATGCAAGAAATAAACAAAAACAATTTAAAACTGTTATTGACATGTTCTGAAACCTGGAAGTCATGAGTCATGGTTAGAATTACTATAATAGGGTGTCCAGGCCTGGCTTACAAAGTATGGTTTGTGAAGAACATTTAGGTCTGAATATCAGCCAAAAGTGGTTTTTATTGTTTTCCTAACCAGGAGACAGCAACACACAGACTGAGGGCTCAAAACCCTAAATTGAACAAGATACCTAATAAAAAAGGATAATTCTACTGTATTAAGGAAAATTAAAGGTAAACAAATACAAATTCAATATTTTGATTATATTTCCACTGAAACTACATTATACTATAACATTTAATCTGCCTTTAAAGGCAACAGGCCATTAAAAAAAAAACACTATCAGACTCGTGACTGAACCAGGAATTCTAGACATAAACGACAAATATAATAATTACTAGTAGACTGTCTCAATGAATCTATAGTTCCTTGGCTGACTTTCTATGTCTTCGGTTTTTATTGGTCAAGACAATGTGGACTTGAGTTTGACTGTCAAAAAGTGTGTCGATAACCGATTGTTCTCCATCTCTCTATTTGATAAGTGGATGCAGAGTTACCAAAAGCATTGTTGAAGTGGGAAAGGATGTTTGTCAAGTTAAATTTTGAACGTAAACGGGTTTTGTGTTTTAGTTTTAGGAAGTGAACTTTTTCAACTGCATCACAAGTTTTACACTGATCTTAGCCAGTGCTGTCATCTCATTCATTTATACAGCCTTCATACATCATCAGCCTTCATCTTTAGCCTTAAAGTATGCAACCTGCATCATGTACTCTAATCCAAGCCTACTTGCAGTATCCAAAGTCACTGCAACTAATCCTTACCTGAGAAGTTAATGACAGCATCCAAAGTGCTCATTATAACAGCTGCTCCTGTAGTTGTGACTTCCAGCTGTTTAAGGAGGTCTCCAAACAACAAACCAAAAGAAGGCTCTATAGATCTTGTTGACAGCTAAAATAGAATAGCAAAGATATTAAAAATCTCACATCGTAGAATTTATTCCTATACTGTTCAGAATCAGAATCAATGGTCTTTTAATGGATTAGCCTTTGTATTTATTATTTTGAGTTTTCTATTTTTCTATTCCATTGACATTATTTAAATTTTTTGTTAGGGAATAGACCAAACTCTGGTTTTGTTCGCATATAAAATTAATCTAACAGATTGGTCTTGTTGTATCTACTCTGGATGGTCAAAAATACACCCTTTTTCAGGAGCCATGTTGTTTTTTTTTTTTTAAGAAAAATTATAACTGAAGAAAGAGTTATCAGTTTATTTGGTGGTAGATATGCGGTAAAGGCTCGTCCACATCGAAACAGGACAGCGGCGGGAGCGGAAGTGGGTGAGGGACCGGTGGTAGCCAGCAGCAGCAGTACGTAGCGGGAAAGATGTAACCCACACCTAAGCGGCAGGCAGCGGAAAGCAGGACGACTCCTCCCCTCAGCTCATTTTCAGCTTTGCTACAGGGTGGTTGTGTTTAGTGAATGCTTATATTATAAATTTATGTGTTCAAGTTCTGAATCTGAGGCCACAAGAAAAAAAAGCTTTGCTCTTGCTAGAAACAGCAGAGAAAGATGAAGGTGCAAGAGAGCGGTCCATTTGGGTCCATGAAATTATCAAATTATAAATTTATTTGGCGAGTACCATACACTTATGCCGGATCTATAAAAAGACAAAAGGCGATTCTATTATAGAATGACCATCGCATGTTTTGATGAACTTGTGGATTTGATAACAAAGGATATACAAAAACAGTATACAGCTTGAGCCATGTGGTCCCGCGGCGGTGTGAGCGGGAAAATCCTACATGTTCCAAACTGACGGGAAGACCGAACATCACAGCGGGATGAAGGCAGCTCGCCGCTCTTGTGTGGGTGCTCACATTTATCACAATGTGTTTTAAAATCCCGAGCGACATTCCTTCCACCGCTGTCCCGCTCCGGTGTGGACCAGCCTTAATTTTGGATTCTAATTTCTAAAGTTCGGTAAGTAAATAAACAATCAAGAAAAATACTAGATTGTTGTGAACTTTCAGAGAAAAATCTTATGCTTGAACTATTAAACATCAATGTGCAACCTATTGACACAGAATATAATCTAGAAAGTAACTGACTTTACGACCCATCAAGCTTAGCTCTTATGTAGGTGAAGGTTAAAGTTATTTGTGTACAGATGTATCACATCTTCTAACAGTAAGCGTCTAACTGTCTACAGTAAAAGTGTTTTCATCACTCAACAAAAGTAACTATTTTTGATAACAGCTGACATCAATGAAAGTATTCGTTTTCCAAGCACTAATTTAGGGCGAGGGAAAATCGATCAGCTGATTTTCCCTCGCTCTCGATCAGTTCTCCATCTACTCAATATCAGTGCGCCAGTGTTTTGTTACGGTATAATTTAATGATTTGTATTAGCTGTATGTATTGTTAAAAGTATTTTATTTTGATGTTTAACCAACATTATTGAGAAATATACGTTCCTTTAGAGTATTATCTTTTAATTTAGCGAATTTCCCTATAGGAAAGTAGCTATTACCGTAGGTCTCATGGTAAGACCTAGGCCCGGGACCGATTTACTTTTTCTTTTTGATGTCCCCAGAGGCCAAAAACACCATTCATGCAAATTTTTATGTATCTATATATAGATATATATATATATATATATGTGTCCATCAGCACGCTAACTTGAGTAATTCTTGTTTGATTTTGATAAAATTTGGTTTGAAGGTGTAAGGCGGGATAAACTTGAATGAGTTTGGGAACCAGCATAATCGGACCATGGGAACGGGGGTTTTATGGGGTAAAAATTGGTTTTTCTCATTTTTGACCCTAAAAACAAAAGATTTTGCATTTTCTTTTCAAACCATTTTGTAGAAATAATTTAGTATATTGAAGCGCTGTTGTATACCTAACGGTCACGGAGAAAATTAAAAAACAGTGTAATTAAAAATTCCCATATTATTCTTATGGAGAAAATGAAAACTGTTGTAGTTTACTTGTTTATATGTTGATAAAATTTGGCAAATTTATTTATTTCATCCTATACTATTAATGTATGGTAAAAAAACACTTTTAACTTTCCCCCCAAACCTAAGCACTCATTAAATCTAATGTTATTTAAAATGGGAATAAATATATCTTATTTAATTTATGGAAATATCTATATATTTAATACGCTAGGCATATTTTTGTCATAATTGTTTTGGAGTGGTGGAGCTACCGATCACCATGTCCAAGGTGTCGTTAGAAAGGTCTTAGCATGTAGTTTTGCCATCAAACAAAAAAACTTTGGAATTCCATCAGGGCTCTGCCCCAGTGGCCTTCAAAGTTCCCATGTTATTCTTAGGGAGAAAATGTTTGTTAACATTTGAACAGATAAATACTTTCAAATTGACACTTATATTTGAAACAGCTGATTATACTAAAATTTTGCACAAAGTCAAAACATAACCAAAAAAACATTCGACATAACGGAGACTATAAGACATTGTACCAGGACGGCCAATAGGAGGAGGCCGCCAAAATTTTAACTTGTAGACGAGAACGAAATACAAATAATACTATTATCGTTGATAGCCGAATACGGCAAGCACCCTTCCGTGTTAGATTTAAGTGTGCTCTACAACAGCCGCCTGAAGATTCCACATTCAATTTAGGACTGTTGGATAATCGCTGCATAAGCTGTTGATTTTGGAAGACAAGGAGGCGGGTATGACTACATCGGAAACAGAAGAGAGGAGATATTAGATGAGTGGCAAATGCGTTGGGAGCAGAGTGTTTAAGGTAAACGTTTGTATATATACCTAACATCAGAAAGAGACTGGAACAAGATTGGGAGATGGGCCATTAAGAAACGCAGTTTGTCACAGGACATAGAAAATTTCAAGGCGAATTTGTGAAGATTTCACATGGTGGAAGAGGAAGTGTGTAGATGTGGAGAAATAAAAACCACGAGTCACGTATTTATAAATTGTTCACTTCAGGAGACAAATAGGAGAGAACAGGAATAAGTCTTGGATAAGATAGGTCTAGAGATGAGAAAATAAAACATGATGAGTTACAAGGAAACAATTGAGACGTTTAGAAAAGTAGCTAAGGAAATAGGAAAAACCAGGGATACATACAGGCGTTAAAATTAAAAAAAAGAAACAAACAAAATTTAAGAAAGAAAAGGAATGAAAACTTGCCCATGAAGAGGAGAGGAAAGGTTAGAGCGAATCTCAATGATCCCTATCGCTCAGGGCGGTATGGGGAATGGAGTCGTGCTGTTAGGCTTTTGGACACGTGTCTGAAAACCTATTGCGGCTATGAGTAAGGCTATTTTGTAGAAAACATTATCTATATGTACCGCTGGGGGACTTGGCGGGGCGGAACGCTGCCGCGTTCCTTAATAATTAATACGCTACATGAAACTTTGTCGGTTGAACTCCTCCGCCATTTCTTAACCGATTTTATCCATTGACGTCTCATTGTAAAGAGCGTGTCGCGTAGATTTGCAAACTGACCTTACATTTTTGAAAAAGTCCCTTGGTCTCTGCCCCAGTGGCTGTTAAAGTTCCCATGTTATCCTTATGAAGAACATATTTGTTTACATTTTGATCAGCTGTATAATTTAATTGCTGTTATTTATATTTCAATTCAACAAAACGCATTTGGTACATTTACTGATTTTGTTGAAATGAAATATTTACTATTTTAATTTACATTCGTACATATTACAATGTAAAAAATTGAGAAAGCCTGGACAATTTGAAATATTTTACCAAATAAGAAAAATGAATTGACATAGTACTGTATTTCTTGAGAAATCATTGAAAGAACCGATTTGTCAACCATGGAAACATAGCAAAGTCATAGAACGCCACCAGCAAGTAGAAGAAATAGAGATTAAAAAAAACATTTACTGTCGTTATCATCCTATATGATGAAGAACACCTACAGCTACAATATGAAGATTCCCACAAACAATGAACAAGGGTTAGTCGAAGTGCTATTTTGTAGGAAACATGGACTTAACTTTATGATGATTGGTAAAGGAAACCCCTCTAAGTCTGAATTAAACTGGTACGGCAAGGACATTAATCATTAAATAGGTATATGTTTTCATAAAAGTCAAGTGATTAAAAAAAAATGTAACTACATCCAAGAAACCTAAAAAAAACTTTCATTGAAGGATTCGCATTATTCCCGTTTAAGGGAAACAAGAAACCATCTGAACGACATTAGGCCTTTCAATTCTACATTTTTTCAGGTAAAAATAATTTAGGATATAAGTAGTATTTACCCAAATGAATGCCAATTGATGAAAATAAAATTGTGACAGAGAGGTTATGCAGAAAATCAGGTGGTTCTTAGTCATGTCAACAAAATGTTATCGCTATAAAAAATTTACTGAAATTTGTAAACGTACTGGCGACAATGGGTGGTACCATGCAGACTACATTATCATTGACGAAGATCAACACGGACAACCTACGGCTATAAGTGGGAAACATTTTAAAAACCCAGATCAGCTTTTGAAAAATGATAAAATATTTACAAGAAATTTTGATTATAAGAAACTGTTAGGTACATAATCTATGAGTTGAGTCTTTTAAGCTCATCGGAAATTATGATGACTTTTATTTGTTTTTAAATAACTACTTTACTTCTTTGTAATTGCTCGATTTCGAGCAATGTGTTTACTAGTTTTAGTAAAAATGTAATCAGACAAGTTGAAATTCGCTTAGTCTGCAGGTTTGCTGAGGCGGGGGTATTTATGTTTTAAAAGTTATTTTGATGTTTAAAATAATTAATTGAGAAATAAAATATATTGCTGAGGTCAGTTTGTTGTGTTTGAGTATTTTTGCGCCGTGATGAAACGTATCATTCGTAGTTCGTACCGAAAGTTATTTTCCGGCACTTGCTCCGTTAAACCCGTAAATTGGGGTTTCCTCACACAAAAACTTAAGCGCACTCTGAAAATGCCACTTTCGGTCCTAGTAATGAAATATACTATTATTTACTTTCAAGTTTGTGTGGGGATGGAAACAGTAATTTCATGTTTCCATCATCTTATAGAAATCGCTTTAAAAACAATGTTTGGAAATTTGTAATCAATGCAAAGATGCAAGAAACTATAGATACAATAATGTTATTTTTAGGTAAAGAAGTTTTTGGAAGGTATTCACTTAAATTCAATGTGATGTTTCCATATTTTGTATTTGAAGTTCATGTGAAATACCTTATATAAAAAGATTTTGGGATTATCCTGTGAGTAACTTGTGCTTGTGCTGATTGGGATTCTTGGTTTGAGAAAAGCAATGATCAAATAATCAAACAAATTTTCATCGTGTTTGACAATATAATTTGGTAATTCATCAGAGTTTCACACCACCATCATTATTTGGCTAATTCTATTTGATACAAACATTGATTTTAGATCTTAAAACCTGACCAGAACAAATCCCTCAATAAATGAAATGCATCTGATAAGAGTATATAAAGAGCACTCGAGAAGTATATGAAATGTTTCTTACTTTGGTATCTTACATTGATAAGACTTGAACCTAAGACCACTGCCCAGCCCCAGCCTCCATCCGGGGGTACAAAGGTTACTCGCCCTTTTGTCTTCTTCATCGTCAATCCTGAAAATCATAAAAAAACATAAATTGACCCTGAAAGGAACAAATCACAGAACACGGTTTTTAATTTCTTATTAGGAATCTCTAAATTAACAGAAGTGATCATTGTGTGTCATTCAAGAATGTTCTATTTCTTTCATACTTCTAGAATTTGAATATGTCAGATCTGTAAGACTTTGAAATATAAACCTTGAAACAATTTAGAACCATTTTGTACAGGGTGAATCAGACCACCCCGTGCACAACGGTTTGGCTCAACAAGAGTTAAAAACTGACCATATTTATTGAAAACCCGCCATTTAAAATGTTTTTAGTGGATTACAATTTTAAAATGTCACTTTAGGCACTTATCTTTTAATGTTGGAATCATTTAAAGTACAAATATAATGTCCGAAAAGTAATTTAAAAATTTTAACACGTCAAAAATCCAAGACAATTTACAAATTTTAGAAGTAAGGTGTTTTTTTAAGGTGAAGGAGTGCGAATGTTGAAAAACGCTCAAGAGTGACTGAAGTAAATCTAATCCCTGACTATGAAAATTCTTTCAAATCTTTGCTAGCTCTTACTGTTTTCAAGCTAGAGCCGTTTAAAATGTGTTTAAAAAAAAAAATTTATTTAGGGGAATTAAAGGGGGGTTGTAAGTTGCAAAATGTAACTTTTTGGATTTTCTGGGTGGTTTAGGACCGAGACAGACCTCCACAAAAAATTTCAGATTCCTAGCTATTCTAGAAGTGGATTAACATTTTGTATACCTGATCAGTGAGTCAGTGAGTTACCCAAGCGGCTTTATATCCAGTAAAGGTATGTGCACAGGTGGTCTGATTTACCCTGTATAGGGGTAACTCAAATGTTTAATTAAAACTTCAAATTGCAGAAAAGTATCACACACGTATTGAGTATAGAAACCAATCCTGAATAAGCTCCAATGTTGACAGTATCTAAACCCGAAAATCTGGTGAATATTAGTAAACAAAAACAATATCTTGTAGGAAACCGCCATCTAGAACCATACAAGTTTAACACCATTCATGTTAACCGAGATAATGGCTGTGTGTGATTAAGTCCTCAATAGTTGTAAGTTGCCACTATATGATCACGATACATCAAGTGAGGTAAGAGCTTTGTTTATGTTTACCTCCGGGTGACCTGACAACACATGATAGTGTCAGAGTTGATAATGACACTAACTCATAATGAGATGGTGATGTGTCTATGTCAAACTTTGCTACCAGGAAACAAAATTAGAAATACCTTTTCTTAAAGTCACCTGACAAAGTGGGCTTCCTTGCGATCATACAGAAAGCTGCTAATTGCTGCATTACTTACTTTGCCTAACACTTTTTACTTTTGCCACAATCTTTTTACTTTTGCCGCACTCCGGTATTCTAATCAAACAACACAAAACAGCGTGCTTTAGGCACGTAATCCATGTACGCTTGGAAATAGGTTGGTAACATTTAAAGATCTACGACTACGATCATCTGGTCCAGCGTTTCCCATTTCATTCAACGTTCCTAAAAACGTGTTATATTGTGTTTGAAAAACAAATTTTTTATATGCTTTATAGTAACTGTAGGAAAATATAATGTGTAGTGCGAGTGCAAATGCTTTTGCTGCGCTCGAGAAACTTTCCACACTCGTGGATAAACATTTCTCTCATGTACAACAAAGTGCCACTTTGCACACTAGTTACACAAATAACAATAGAAAACAAGTGGGTGTGTTTTACAGTGGTAATTTTTATGTTAAACAGAAAGTAACTAAATTTATTATCAGGCAAAATTACAAATAAAAAAATGAAATTCCTCCTACTACAACAGACCAATTTCTTCATTTATGCTTTGTAAAGGGATAGGAATGCAGAAGAAAATTTAAATTAATACCCCCGCTAACTTCCATTTGCCTGATTGGATGTTCACTTAAATATCTCCTTAAACATGTTAGATTTATACCCTATTTAAATGGCATTAGGTTTAATAAGTACAGTACAGTACTTAATAAAGAATTCTTTTTTAGTAAAATGTGAATATAGCTTAGTAGAAAATAAATACATATGTCGCCATGCCGGATATGCCAAGTTTAATCAAAACATATCCATAAACAAGCAAACTACAAAAACTTTTTATTCTCTATAAGAATAACATGGGAATTTTCAGTTTTCAATTCTTAAATTTTCTCTGTAACTTATACCATAGCCTATAACAACACTTCAAAAATACTAAATTATTTGTTTTTTAAGATCTACAAAATAGTTTGGAGATAAATTGTGAAATTCTATGTTTAGAGGGTTAAAAATTAGAAAAGGTTTTTTTACCCCATAAAACCCTGTTTCCGTGGTCCGATAATGCTCATGTTGATTGAACAACGTTGACCAAACTAATATATTTTATAAATAAAAAGTAATTTTTATATAAGAATTAAACTATTGGATGATTTTTGCTTAAGTCATCATGCTAAATGGACACACATATAATATATTTATGAATTTGAACGGATGGTGTTTTTGGCCTCTGGGGACATCAAATTGGAAAATAAATTGGTCCATGGTCTAGGTCCAACATGAGACCAACATTAATACCTTATTCCCTATATAGGAAACTCGCTAACAAAATGGTTTATATTTGCTAGTTGCTATACTACATTTTCAAAACTAACACAACTAAAAATACTACACAACAATTAAGTTAAGAGTTCAGAACATGTTGAAAACCAGTTTAACAACAAAAAAAAAATTTTTAAATCTTGGTTAAATACCATGTACAATGTATGTATTTTTACGTGCACATCTTTCTAACTTTAAAGGTGAATTAGTTACAAGTTATCATTGCTCAACAATGTAATATTCTTTCCAATACTGTCTGGGCTAACCTATTGTTGCCTCCATTGTTTAGAAAGCTTAGAAAACTCAGCATTGTTGCTTAAGACCTCTGGAAAAATATTATGTTTCATATTAAACTGTAGGAATACAATGCCATCAATGCTGCGTCCAAACAGAATTTTTTATGTGTATAAGTAAAGCTTGGTTTATTAAAACGTAGTCTTTATTTCTAGATTACAAGCAATATTTTACAAAAACTGAATAATCACAATCATAATATTTTCTTGTCGACAGTTTAAATTAACTGCAATGACTTTGGGAATAATAATATTGCAAAATGACACAACTTTTCATATGCTTGAATTACTATAATCTAGTAAATAAAAGTGTTTACCCTATCATGTAGAAAAATAACATTTTTAGATGATTTTAATTCACATTTTCTATAGTAGCCTACCATGCTATCTAATCATAGTAATGGGGTTTATCCATAATCTTCACTTGCATGTGATACCATAGATAAAAGGAGTACTCCTTTTATCTATGGGGATACTGTCAGTAGAAAATTATCAACGACTTAAAAGTCAAGATTATTTAATAACTTGCTAGTTTAACTACTTCAAGTTCAGTTTTTAGTTAAGCCGCAAAGTTGATTTAATTCTTTTCCCACATAAACAAACAAAAAAATGCAATTTTTGTTTCGGTACAAGATTTTGAGCCTTCTTATTATATTTGGACAATCTCTAGACTTAAAAAAATTCAAGGATTGCTACAGCCCAACTAGGTTTTGACATGATTAAAATTGGTTGTGTGATCCTATATTGATTCATTCCTAGTTATAGCTTAATATATATTACAACAATGAATTCATAAAAACAGCTGATTGAATATACCAGCTGTACTATTACAAATAAAATAACATGTCTTGTATTGGTTTTAGATTAAACTGTTAACCGATTAAGCTCATAAATATTATGTTAGAGTTTGTTACTGATGACTAGGGTAAGTATATTCGAAACAAATTACTGGTCGTTTATTACAAGTTAAGTAGACAGAGCATTAAAATATTACTGAATGTCAGGGTTAAGTTTGGCATTGCGTGCACGTTTTGTTGTCCGATTTGATGGCAAAGTGAAGAATGATGTCGAACACGTTCGAGTCAATATCGCCAACGGTCCGAGTCGATAACCTCAACCATTCTAATGTTGATACCAACATTACCAACAAAAGGCGCTTGGTTTGAATGGAAATAATTGGCTCTGCACATGATTTTTAGATCGTTGGGATTTGTGTTGTTTTTTTTTTACTTTCTCCCCCTATACATGGTATATGGAGAAAGTATTGTTTTCAAAATTTTCGTGGTTGAGTTTTGAGTGGATATACCCGTTTTGGGTCCCCTGAACCCAAAAAGGGGGTTTTCGAAGTGATGTCTGTGTGTGTGTGTGTCTATGTGTGGATGTGTACAGAGCTACAGACCACACATGTGTTACGATTTTGATTAAATTTGGTATGTAGGTACTAATCCATGGTATCTCCAGGTTTTTTTATTTTTTATAAACTTTTGTTTTTATGGGGATTTTCCAATCAAAACTCGTAAAATCGGGTTTTCTCCAAAATGGCCAGAATGATTTTCATAAACATTTAGAATGTTATAGTCCTTTAAATTCTTAACAAAATGGTACAAATCCCATATCCGTAAAAATTACAGTTCAAAAGTTATTGTAACTTATATCATTTCCCCATAAAAAATCCATAAAATTAAAAAAAATTAGATTTTTTGAAAAAAAGCTGGTTTTGATCAAAATTTATATGTTAGGCCTATGTTCCTAATAATTCTAAAAAAGATAGTGCAACCCCCTTATTGCCGCAACTACGGATCAAAAGTTATTGCTACTTTTGTTATTTTTCCTACAAAATACCATACCTAGTTACTCCCACCGCTTACCCTTGATTAAGGTTGTTGACAAGCTTATGGGAGAAAGTATGTGTCAGAATGCTGGTACAGTTTAATATTTCTCGAACACATATGAAATGGTGACGATTAAACCAATAGGTATAATTTAACTGGTTTTTTATTGGTTTCAAGTTAGTGAATTGAATTGCATAGAAAAAAAACTCAATCAGTACACATAGAATACAAACATAACTAAAGTAGCCATAGAAACCCCCATAAAAAACAATCATT